TAACCCGTGACGATTCTGGGCCATGTTCCATAGAGCGATCTTGGCGCTAAGGTGATCGTAACCTCCAGACTTTTAGCAAAGGCTTCAGATTATTGTAGCGCTAAGATCGCTTTGTGGAACGACCCTCTGGCCTGTAAGATCGGGCATTACCGTCCACAAGAACAAAGACACCCCAGCAGTTAGATCTTTTGTTTGTTTGGTGTTTAACGCAGCACTCGGCATGATACATGATAAATGTGAGCAACGATTCACACCGTAAACTCTTAGACTGGTTCCCGTTCGTTCCTGCGACACCAAGCGGAGGATCCGGGAACCAGTCTACGTAAACTCTAAACCCAAGTGTTCTACTTCTGACCACTAGATATAGAACAGATGGATGTAACACTTTTAGGGGCGGTCGGGTAGCCTGCTGGTTAAAGCGTTTGCTCGTCACGACGAAGACCCGGGTTCGATTCCCGACATGGGTACAATGTGTGAAGCCCATTTCTGGTGTCCCCCGCCGTGATATTGCTAAAAGCGGCGTAAAACCATACTCACTCACTCACTGTGACACTTTTGGAACGCGTCATTGTGTTCTGAAAATATTCTGAACGTTGATGTTCTCGACCCAGAACAGGAGTGTTCTACAAACATATTTAGAACGTTTCAACGTGTTCTGACGATGTTACACGTTTCGAGCGCCTGTAAAGTGTTCGGAACCGAGATTCAGAACACTACACGTTCTCAGACACGTGCTTCCACGGTACTGAAATGACACATCATCCGATGGTTTTCAAGGCGTAAGAATTTAAACCACAGCCACACACCCATGCATATTCTCTGGCATGAAATCACATGGACGGAATTCGGAACTGTAAACATGAATTCTTTACTATCTCAATTTGTCATGATCATGTGGATATTCAAGTCACTTAAAGATGTGAGTTAGAGTTCTTCATGAACCATTAGAAACTGTCGTGAATCAAATTGAAGCATACAAGTCTTTCATAAGGCAGATGTTTCTCGTGGGTATATATCCACAAGGACGATGTTCATAACTGCAACATGACCATGCTTCAGGAAACATCTTGTCAAATATGAGTCTGCATCATCCTACAACTACAAACACTTTGCGTAGACGTGTGCTGTGTTCAATAATTTCCATGGTACTGATTATCTGCAATGCGACCTGTAATAGAAACAACAAATCAACGTGAGACTGTTTCTCGACAATGTTTCACATAAAATAGCCAAAAACATGTCCTGTGTAGGTTTAGTTCTGTTTGTTCATTACATACTTACACTTCTCTCTGCTGATTTCGATACATGCTGATCATGCCCTCGGATCCCAAATTTAGATGTTCAGAGATTTGTTGCGTGCAGCCCGCTTCGCACGTTCAGACGAACTTAAGTCTGAATTCATATAGAACCTGATTTATATTCATTTTACTTGAAACTCATTTTGAAAACTTTCAAATAGTCACAAGTGCAAACTGGATTGGGTTTTCATCTCAATTTACGAATAATGCGTGTGGAATAATGACAGAATGACAGTCAAAATGGCGAGGAATATGTCGTCTGCTCTGCGTTTCGTATGGGGCAGGTTTTACTTCGCATGTGATCAGCATATGATTTTATCGCCGAAATATTACACTATTTTATGTAAGGATTAAATATGAAACAAAAGTATTCCTAGATGGATACTTACCACAAATACCCCTCAGATGATAGGAAATTGTAGCGACAAATAAATGCGACGTCACGTCAGTTTTCTCAAATAACGGATGTGGTTCACAGGGCATGGGGAGCTTTGAATGCTAGTTAGAAAAACAGAACCCCGATGTTCTATTAATGGAACACGTGTTCTCGCCTATTACATTAGTTTGCTGCTTATCAATATATACCGTATTCGACGTAATAAGCGCCCAGGGCGCTCTCAAAATTTGAAATGGGGGCTCTTAATCAGCTCTCTGTGTCCATCAATCAATTTACTGTATAAACATTGATGTTAATAAGTTATATACCTATGTTGTTTAGAACTATCCATCACTTGCTTGATAAAGGTGATAGGATCTACACCGAAACGTCGCACTAATTGTAATAAAGAAGTTGTTCATCCATAGAACTTGTCTTACTTCAGCAAATATATTAGTAAATATCGCCGTGGGCGCTTATTAGAGCAGAGCGCTTATTACGTCGAATATGGTATACATTATAGAACACAGCAGAACACGTGCGTTCTAGAGGAGAACGCATGTGTTCAGCAAATAGACCGTATATGTTCCATAGCACACATACTGTATTCGACGTAATAAGCGCCCCGCTCTAATAAGCGCCCACGGCGACATTTGCAAAGATATTGGCTAGTGAACAATCCCGATTAGCAGGCCTTCCGATTGATCAATGTACACAAGACTTATTTATTCGCGTATAATACGCACTCGTGTTATATGCACCCTTAATTATGGGCAATTAAATTCTGGAAAAAAACCAGTATCTATCTGTCGTACATAAACATTTCAGGTTGTCAGCATAAACCATGAAATGTATCTTTCAACTCTTATGAGAGACCCTTATTTCTAATTTTGAGAGCGCCTTGGGCGCTTATTACGTCGAATACGTGATCCAGGTAAAATAAGCCAACAGAATGCCAATGTTCTGATACACGTATTACCAATTAGCTGTATTTCAATACTGTTTCTTGTTGTATTTAGTCAGACTACATATGAGTTATTATTAACACAAAGTGGGCCGTGTAGCTATTTATTATTCGTTAAACTCAAAATACCACTTATAAAAAAAATCTGTTTGACTTACCAATATGCCAGCCTCTCTTCTTCTCAAAACTAAATATTTCGAAAACACAAATACACTCTTCAAAAATTGAAACGCACAGGTATATAAATTGGATATATATATTGGTGTGGGGGACCATATCCTCCACCGCGAGATCTGACTTGGTTGTGGTTCAGGGAAATTTGACAGCAAATCGCTACATAATCAAATTCTTCAACCTCACCTTCCAATCATTGACCGCCAGAAGGAGCTGTTTCAACAGGACACACTCCACCGCACGCAGCTCGTGTCACGGTAGACTAGCTTCATAATGCCAACATCAACGTCTTGCCCTGGCCGTCGAGATCTCCAGATCTCAACCCAATCGAACACCTCTGGGATGAACTCGATCGACGTTTACATCAACGTCAGAACACGCCGCAGTCACTCCCACAACTGACCAACGCGTTCCAAGCAGAATGGCACAGAATTCCGCAGGACCGAATTCGTACACTTATCCAGTCAGTGCCGAGGAGATGCAGAGCCGTGATTGCTGCCCGGGGCGATCACACGAGATACTGAGTTCAGCGCAACCTTGTGGCCTTATGTGACATGGCAATGAACAGTTTTCAATGCATTTGTACAACGACATTATGTGACTATCGAGCTTCAAAATTTCATATTTGTATCTATGATATCAAATTAAATAGATCGACTTTATTAGGTACAATAAATTTACTAAACAATCACCCTGTGCGTTTCTTTTTGGGAGAGTGTATATGGTCGAATTTTAATTTATCTAACAATATTCAGCACTTTATCTCTGCTAATGTGCATTGACTTCTCCCAGGAGAGAACACACGCGTTCTACAACAGATCACAGGCGTTCGTTCAGCAATAGAACACGTGCTGCCCGAATATGTAACATTCGTATTATGTGGCAGAACGTAAGGACGCGTATAGTGTTCTTTCTTAGAACACATAGATTTAGACTGTATACGGCGGCAATCAACTAACTGATGTGACCAAACTGTTACGATAGGTATAGGCTGCTTGGACCAACTTAGACCCGGAATTCCAACAGGTCTGCCTTTAAACAAGCTGAGGTGAGGTGAGGTGAAATTGGGTTTAACGTCGCGTCCAAGATTATTGCACGTGTATTGTGACGTACATGCGCGTGTGTGCTTGTACTAGTCCGGACTGATGCCGTGCTAGCTCACTGAGATACCATGCCGCAGTTTACATGAATACCCCACTCAGACACAGTATACTGACTCCGAGCCGACCAGTCCTCGTTTTAGCCCCTTACTGCCGAGTGCCAGACAGGGTAACAACATGTACCATCTTTTAATGACTTGATTATAAGATCGCTTTGTGCAAGTGGGCCATGAAATCTTCACGGGGTCTCATAAGGATGCGTCTTGCAGTTTAGATTGTGAAAACTTTACGGATATTTCAGCAGGGAATCTCTATCTTGCTAATTGTATAAGCGAATTCGATAAATAACAGAGGCCTTTTTTGGACAAATAGTTATATTTCCTTCATTGATAATCCTGCACATACCCGTTATATTTGAGGGAATCCCAACACTTCCAGGGTCGACCAGGGAGGTTTTGTTCGCTTGCCAATCTCATTCAAGTCAGATCCTAGCTCTCGCTACCGCTATAAAAAGTGGCAGTGAGACTATTATCTGATTTTAATGAGATTGACCAACAAGCGAACCAACCAACTATATACCGAAAATGTGTGTGTGTGTGTGTGTGTGTGTGTGTGTGTGTTTGTGTGTTTGTTGTTAACGCCGCACCCAGCAAAATTCCAGCTATATGACGTCGGTCTGTAAATAATCGAGCCATCTAAGGCATCGATCCACGCATTTGGGATACGATGACATGCATCAACCAAGTCAGCGAGTAAGACCACCCGATCCCGCGCGCGCGTGTGTGTGTGTGTGTGGATTTAAATATCCAGGATACAAGAAAGTACTTGGCTTTCTTGTTCAATGACATGCTTATTTTGAAAATGTCATCCTCACGAGATGAGATTCACATGACATTTGACCCCCCAAAAATCCAAAAAGCAAATGTTCGGTTTATAATATGTTTTCTCTCTGATTTTGACCACCGTACTCTGAAAACAAATATTATATCACTCGAATTTACATGTTTAGGCCTAAGATAAATACGGCATCTGTCCGCCTACCGCGCTTATATTTTTTTTCAAGCGGTATGCCACTTGGAAGTCCGATTGTTACTTCCCTTAGACAACAATGGCAACACTCTTATAGGCACACATATATGTGTTTTTACAACTTGTTCACAAAGGAGGAAAAATCAATTGTCACGTAACGGCATTCATCGTTTGATAACTACGACTCAATTCAGAAGCTAACACGTTGCATTTGCGTGTAATTCTGTTCTTGTGTGACAGGGATACTCGAGGTGTAATGTGTCGGTCAGACGAGAAGATCTAAAGTACATCACCTATATAAAATTAGGATGCCAAGATCATTGACTGCATCTGTTGTTGTTGCGGGACTGCTGGTGGTTGTAGGGGTGAGTGAGTCGGTCAACTCAAGGTGTTCTTGTTAAAGGGAAACAACACTCCAACTTTTAGTTGTCTAGACGGTGCCCTTTTAAAATTAGCCCGTGTAATCACCAGAAGCTGGAGCGAGCCAGCGACCCAACCGACTGGGCTTCTGACCAGCGAAGTCCCAACCGGAAAACCTCGTTGATAGGGAGGGTTAACCCCCTGGAATCGTCCATTTGAGTGCACGATGCTTCCTTTCACCTTGAAAATGCACCTGCGTGTGTAAATGTCTGTGTACAATTATGTAGTTTGGTATTCAGAAAATGTGTGTGCGTGTAACACAATACACACCTGCATCTACACAATACACACCTGCATCTACACACATCACACCTACATCTACACACCTCACACCTACATCTTCACACCACATACCTGCATCTACACAATACACACCTGCATCTACACACAACACACCTGCATCGACACAATACACACCTGCATCGACACAATACACCACAGGTGTGTAGATGTAGGTGTGTGGTGTGTGGTGTGTAGATGTAGGTGTGTAGATGTAGGTGTGTGGTGTGTAGATGCAGGTGTGTGGTGTGTAGATGTAGATGTGTGGTGTGTAGATGCAGGTGTGTGGTGTGTAGATGTGTGGTGTGTAGATGTAGGTGTGTAGATGTAGGTGTGTGGTGTGTAGATGCAGGTGTGTGGTGTGTAGATGTAGATGTGTGGTGTGTAGATGCAGGTGTGTGGTGTGTAGATGTAGATGTGTGGTGTGTAGATGTAGGTGTGTGGTGTGTAGATGTAGGTGTGTGGTGTGTAGATGTAGGTGTGAGGTGTGTAGATGCAGGTGTGTGGTGTGTAGATGCAGGTGTGTGGTGTGTAGATGTAGATGTGTAGATGCAGGTGTGTGGTATGTAGATGCAGGTGTGTGGTGTGTAGATGTAGGTGTGTGGTGTGTAGATGTAGGTGTGAGGTGTGTAGATGCAGGTGTGTGGTGTGTACATGTAGGTGTGTGGTGTGTAGATGCAGGTGTGTGGTGTGTAGATGTAAATGTTTGGTGTGTAGATGCAGGTGTGTTGTGTGTAGATGTAGGTGTGTCGATGTAGGTGTGTGGTGTGTAGATGTAGGTGTGTGGTGTGTAGATGTAGGTGTGTGGTGTGTAGATGCAGGTGTGTTGTGTGTAGATGCAGGTGTGTGGTGTGTGGTGTGTAGATGCAGGTGTGTAGATGTAGGTTTATGGTGAGAAGATGTTGGTGTGATGTGTGTAGATGCAGGTGTGTATTGTGTAGTTGCAGGTGTGTGGTGTGAAGATGCAGGTGTGTTGTGTGTAGATGTAGGTGTGTGGTATATAGATGCAGGTGTGTGGTGTGTAGATGTAAATGTTTGGTGTGTAGATGCAGGTGTGTTGTGTGTAGATGTAGGTGTGTCGATGTAGGTGTGTGGTGTGTAGATGTAGGTGTGTGGTGTGTAGATGTAGGTGTGTGGTGTGTAGATGCAGGTGTGTTGTGTGTAGATGCAGGTGTGTGGTGTGTAGGTGTGTGGTGTGTAGATGCAGGTGTGTAGATGTAGGTTTATGGTGAGAAGATGTTGGTGTGATGTGTGTAGATGCAGGTGTGTATTGTGTAGTTGCAGGTGTGTGGTGTGAAGATGCAGGTGTGTTGTGTGTAGATGTAGGTGTGTGGTATATAGATGCAGGTGTGTGGTGTGTAGATGTAGGTGTGTGGTGTGTAGATGCAGGTGTGTGGTATATAGATGCAGGTGTGTGGTGTGTAGATGTAGGTGTGTGGTGTGTAGATGCAGGTGTGTGGTGTGTACATGTAGGTGTGTGGTGTGTAGATGCAGGTGTGTGGTGTGTAGATGTAGGTGTGTAGATGCAGGTATGTGGTGTGTACATGTAGGTGTGTGGTATGTAGATGTAGGTGTGTGGTGTGTAGATGTAGGTGTGTATTGTGTAGATGTAGGTGTGTGGTGTGTCGATGCAGGTGTGTTGTGTGTAGATGTAGGTGTGTAGATGTAGATGTGTCATGTGTAGATGTAGGTGTGTGGTGTGTCGATGCAGGTGTGTGGTGTGTAGATGCAGGTGTGTATTGTGTAGATGCAGGTGTGTGGTGTGAAGATGTAGGTGTGAGGTGTGTAGATGTAGGTGTGAGGTGTGTAGATGTAGGTGTGAGGTGTGTAGATGCAGGTGTGTATTGTGTCGATGCAGGTGTGTATTGTGTAGATGCAGGTGTGTTGTGTGTAGATGCAGGTGTGTATTGTGAAGATGTGGGTGTGTATTGTGTAGATGCAGGTGTGTGGTGTGTAGATGTAGGTGTGTGGTGTGTAGATGCAGGTGTGTGGTGTGTAGATGCAGGTGTGTGGTGTGTAGATGTAGGTGTGTGGTGTGTAGATGCAGGTGTGTGGTGTGTAGATGTAGATGTAGGTGTGTAGATGCAGGTGTGTGGTGTGTAGATGCAAGTGTGTGGTGTGTAGATGCAGGTGTGTTGTGTGTAGATGCAGGTGTGTGGTGTGTAGATGCAGGTGTGATGTGTGTAGATGCAGGTGTGTTGTGTGTAGATGGAGGTGTGTGGTGTGTAGATGCAGGTGTGAGGTGTGTAGATGTATGTGTGTGGTGTGTAGATGCAGGTGTCGGCAAACATCAAGTCATTTCTTGTTCAATTTCAGGGGCAGACTAGAAGTTTCACCATTGACTATTCGGAAGACACATTTGTAAAAGATGGGGAATCCTTTCGTTACATCTCCGGTAGCATCCATTATACTCGTGTTCCGAGAGTGCACTGGAAGGACAGGTTGATGAAGATCTATGCTGCCGGACTCAACACCATTCAAACGTGAGCAAGACTACTTAGTTTGTTTGCTAAGAGTTGCGTCCCTTGGGTTCGCCCCAATTATGCCCCATTTGTCAGCACCATACTCGTGCTCGTGCTCTGAGCCCTGCATCACGTAAAACTGATATGCTGTGATGTAACTGGAATATTGTTCAAAGCGGCGTTAAACCCCACTCACTCACTCACTCACTCACTCACTCACCCACTCACTCACTCACTCACTCACTCACTCACTCACTCACTCACTCACTCACTCACTCACTCACTCACTCAGTGTAGATGTCTCAGGAAAAATATTGAACTTACAAGATGTTATTTTTTAGAGAAAATAAAAAAAATATATAAGGATACTGAATTTCATTTCTATTTCTGGTTGAAGAAACATTGGAACAGATTTGTTCATTTATATTTTGGTTGACATGAAGATTTGTGTTGAATCGAGCAGGAGACATTCTCCTCCCCTATACCATGGGTTCCTTAAAATTGTTCCAATTCAGTATGCATGGTAATGTGTGTGCACAGGATTGGTGTCCAGTTTGATGATAATGTTACGGATCAAATATTTAGATGTTTTGCCTATTTGGCACCTGAGAGTTTCCAGGGCTTCGGTCCTGCCCCACACTGAAGCACATGTAACACACGTGTGGTCTCCTTGGGCAAGTGACTTTGTTCAAAATGTGCCTCTGTTCAGCCAGCAGTGAAGAGAGTGAGTGAGTGAGTTGGGTTTAACTCCACTTTTAACAGTATTCCAGTTTTATCACGGCGTGTCAGCTTAATAGGGGAGGAAAGCCCCAAGTGATGCAGGTCTCAGACGTTTACCACTTTGGTGAAACCCACGAGCACGGGTATGGTGCTGACAAACCTAGAAACATAATCGGGGCGAACCGGGATTCGAACCCACAATCATAGGTTTCTGGCGTGCCCAAGGGACGCAACTCTGCACAGCGAATCATGCACCTTAGACGACTGGGCCACCTGTGCCATTGCAGTAAAGAGAGGGAGCTGCAAGCAGACGCAGATGGATATACTACTGTCTACATTATTTTAAATGATTTACAGAGATTGTTACGAAACAGGTTTTAAGTTAAATACCCAATGTTAGAAGATGCCATTGTGTGTTTGTAAGCTGCAGATAAAGTACCTGACTAGTCATTTTTTTCCCGTTAGCTATTGCTCCAGTTGATAAAGTTTTGTTTTTAAAGTAAAAGTTTTTTTCTTTTCTCTGAGGACCGCCTCCGTGGTCTAGTGGTAGAGTGTCCGCCCAGAGAGCGGAAGGTCTGGGGTTCGATCCCCGGCCGTGTCATACCAAAAGACGTTAAAAGATGGTACTTGTTGTTACCCTGTCTGGCACTCGGCATTAAGGGGCTAAAACAAGGACTGGTCGGCTCGGAGTCAGTATACTGTGTCTGAGTGAGCTATTCATATTAAACTGCGGCATGGTATCAAAGTGGGCTAGCACTATAAATCGACATCAGTCCGGACTAGTACAAGCAGCCACACACACGTGCACATCGCTATAGAAGTGCAGTAATCTTGGAAGCAACGTTAAACTCGATTTCACCTCCCCTCACCTCTTTTCTCTGATTCCCTATATGGGTACAATGTGTGGAGCTCATTCTTGGTATCCCTCTCCATGACACTGCTGGAATACTGTGAAAGTGGAATAAAACAATACCACTTACTCATGCGAAACATTGATTGTTTGTTGTTTAACGCTGCATTCAGCAATATTCCAGCTATATGACGGTGGTCTGTAAATAATTGAGTCTGGACCAGACAATCCAGTGATTGACATCAAGAGCATCGATCCACGCAATTGGGATTCAATGGCATGCATCAACCAAGTCAGCGAGCCTGACTACCCGATCTGTTAATCGCCTCTTACGACAAGCATAGTCGCCTTTTACGGCAAGTGTGGGTTGCTGAAGACCTATTCTAGCTCGGATCTTCACAGGTGTCATGCGAAACAGAAGGGAATGAAATATGTAATGCAGAATAAGTATTAACTATAAGATATTTTAGATATTAATAAAATTCATTGGGTACTTGTGTTATATTTTGCGTTGTTGATACACAGACAGAGCTGGCCTGGTACTCTGATTTACAAATGTCATGTTCCAGCTATGTGCCATGGAATCTCCACCAGCGCCAACCGTTCCAGTCGGATTTCTCCGGGAATCTGGACTTTGTGTCCTTTGTGAAACTAGCTCAAGATGTCGGCTTACTGGTCATTCTGCGTCCAGGCCCCTACACCGATGCAGGCTGGGACTTTGTACGTCTCTTTGGTTGCCTAGGTTACGATATAGTGCAGATACGGGTGTTTGATGTATTAAATATTTCCATTTGTTAAGGTTGTGTCATCTTATACCGAAGGAGCATCCAGGTCAAATTAGTCAATTTTTTATCAAATTATCAACTTTATCAAATTATAGCAAGGTGTGAGTTATTTCGAACCAAGATGTTATCCCTAATGTCATTAAAACAAATCAGCTGATTTTGATGGAAGGTAATCTGTAACTTCAGCAGAATTTGAAGATTTTTTCATTTTCAAAAATATTGTATGGTTTCAAATATGATTATATGTCATATTCATGATTGTAGACAACAGTTTTATGTCGTTAATGCTGGATCACCTAACACTTTTAATTTAGCGATCTCCGTACTGTCGTATATTTTACCGCCGATTTTACGTCTCGTAAGTGAAGCAGGGCTCGATCTAAGGACCTTGAGTTATCTCGCACCATGTGCATGTTGACATAAAATCTAGATGCACCAGACTAACTAGGTTGTACCCGTATCATTAATTTACCAAAATAGACACAATATATGGATAACAACTTCTGTATTTACTGAAAAGGTGATATTTCAGTATAAGCAAGGCTTAATAATGAACATAAATTTGTCAAAATTGAAACCAATTCCGATTGATCAATGTACTCAAGACTTTTTTATTCGTGTATAATATGCACTCGTATGTTATATGCACCCTAAATTATGGGCAATTAAATTATCTGTCGTATATAAACATTTCAGGCTGTCAGCATAAACCACAAAATTTATGTTTTTTTCACCAAAATAATATTCTAATAAGAGCCCCCTATTTCTAATTTTGAGAGTGCCCTGGGCGCTTATTACATCAAATATGGTAGTTGTTACTTGTGTGCAGGGCGGGCTGCCAGCCTGGTTGATGGAGAGTCAGTACGTCAACAGGAATATTGTGCTGCGCAGCAACAACACAGGTAGGCATTCATTATAGGTAGGCTCATATTACAGGTATGCACTCGTTACAGACAGGCACTTTTTACAGGTAGATATTTTACAGGTAGGCCCTTGTCACAGGTAAGCACGCGTTGAAGGTAGCCACTTGTTACAAGTAGGCATTCATTCCAGGTAGGCTCTTGCGATAAGTAGGCATTCATTACAGGTAGGAATTTGTTGAAGGTGGGTACATGTTACAAGTAGGCATTTATTACAGGTAGGAATTGATTTCAAATATTCACTTGTTACAAGTAGGCAGGTAGGGATTTGTTGAAAGTACTCACTTGTTAAAAGTAGGCATTCAGTACAAGTTAGCACTTGTTTCTCGAAGCATTACAGGTAGGAATTGATTACAAATATTCACTTGTTACAAGTAGGCATTACAGGTAGGGATTTGTTGAAAGTACTCACTTGTTAAAAGTAGGCATTCAGTACAAGTTAGCACTTGTTACAAGTAGGCATTACAGGTAGGAATTGATTACAAATATTCACTTGTTACAAGAAGGCATTACAGGTAGGGATTTGTTGAAAGTACACACTTGTTAAAAGTAGGCATTCAGTACAAGTTAGCACTTGTTACAAGTAGGCATTACAGGTAGGAATTGATTACAAATATTCACTTGTTACAAGAAGGCATTACAGGTAGGGATTTTTGAAAGTACTCACTTGTTAAAAGTAGGCATTCAGTACAAGTTAGCACTTGTTACAAGTAGGCATAACGGGTAGGGATTTGTTGAAAGTACTCACTTGTTAAAAGTAGGCATTCAGTACAAGTTAGCACTTGTTACAAGTAAGGGTGAAACGATACACCGATATTCCGATGCATCGCGATATTTGACCCACGATACGATATACAGTAAACGTGGGCCCATTTATCGATACGCCACGATACGGAACCCAAACCTCAAGTACAGCGTTTCCTCGCTATTGTGCCTTTCAATAAACTGGTAACTTGGTTATAGCGCGCGCTAACGCATGGCTCCTCAAAACGTACTTACATTTTTAATAAGCTCAGATTTTACACCGACAGATGTTTTTCCCCATCTCATAAAACGTTATCAGCTGATCACCGCAAGCACATAACACCGAAAATACCAGTCAGCAAATCTGTACTGAAGTATGCAATTCAATACCATTATTATACTATCTTGTTATTAAAACGTGTTCATTGTATATCTGGACTTGTGTTTGTAATATATTTTATTAATTTTATTCAAAATTTCATTTAATATTGTTTTCATTAAGTTATGTGAAATCGTGTGTGAAGAGATACAGCAACCACGGTCAGATTACCGCTTTTGACGCATTGAAACAAACTTTAGTTGCTAGAGAATGGATACATATATTAAAAATGCCATACTTTGACTCGTTAAAAGACATATTTGTGGCAATTTGGCTAATATATGTCAACATAACGTTATCGCAATCGAAATACATGTAGCACGGGAAGTCCCTAGGGTGACTGGTCAAATTGTTCCATATGTAAAAATATTCTGCAACAGCAATCACCAGTACCAAAATGCTACACTTGTGGTTCTTATAATTATAAATATATATATAGTAAAAGCTGCAACTAAGGTAACACGATATTGGAATAAATTATTCCTGAAAAAACAATAATTTCAGATACAATTTCTTCGACCATTGCATCAAAATTCTTTGAAGTTGTATCACTGGTGGAGTACATTAATTATTTTCTGGTGTTTGAACTTTGAATTGTTTTGAAGGAAAGTTGAACAACTTCAGTAGTCTTGTTATTATAAAATAATTTTGACTGTTCCAAAATCATGAAAGGTTCAATCTTGACATGCTTTAAGTCTTGTTTTTTTATCATTGCGTATCGAGATATGTATCGTATCGTGACCAGAATATCGAGATGCGTATCGTATCGTGACCTTCCTGTATCGTTGCAGCCCTAGTTACAAGTAGACATTACAGGTAGGAATTGATTACAAATATTCACTTGTTACAAGAAGGCATTACAGGTAGGGATTTGTTGAAAGTACTCACTTGTTAAAAGTAGGCATTCAGTACAAGTTAGCACTTGTTACAAGTAGGCATTACAGGTAGGGATTTGTTGAAAGTACTCACTTGTTAAAAGTAGGCATTCAGTACAAGTTAGCACTTGTTACAAGTAAGGGTGAAACGATACACCGATATTCCGATGCATCGCGATATTTGACCCACGATACGATATACAGTAAACGTGGGCCCATTTATCGATACGCCACGATACGGAACGCAAACCTCAAGTACAGCGTTTCCTCGCTATTGTGCCTTTCAATAAACCGGTAACTTGGTTATAGCGCGCGCTAACGCATGGCTCCTCAAAACGTACTTACATTTTTAATAAGCTCAGATTTTACACCGACAGATGTTTTTCCCCATCTCATAAAACGTTATCAGCTGATCACCGCAAGCACATAACACCGAAAATACCAGTCAGCAAATCTGTACTGAAGTATGCAATTCAATACCATTATTATACTATCTTGTTATTAAAACGTGTTCATTGTATATCTGGACTTGTGTTTGTAATATATTTTATTAATTTTATTCAAAATTTCATTTAATATTGTTTTCATTAAGTTATGTGAAATCGTGTGTGAAGAGATACAGCAACCACAGTCAGATTACCGCTTTTGACGCATTGAAACGAACTTTAGTTGCTAGAGAATGGATACATATATTAAAAATGCCATACTTTGACTCGTTAAAAGTCATATTTGTGGCAATTTGGCTAATATATGTCAACATTACGTTATCGCAATCGAAATACATGTAGCACGGGAAGTCCCTAGGGTGACTGGTCAAATTGTTCCATATGTAAAAATATTCTGCAACAGCAATCACCAGTACCAAAATGCTACACTTGTGGTTCTTATAATTATAAATATATATATAGTAAAAGCTGCAACTAAGGTAACACGATATTGGAATAAATTATTCCTGAAAAAACAATAATTTCAGATACAATTTCTTCGACCATTGCATCAAAATTCTTTGAAGTTGTATCACTGGTGGAGTACATTAATTATTTTCTGGTGTTTGAACTTTGAATTGTTTTGAAGGAAAGTTGAACAACTTCAGTAGTCTTGTTATTATAAAATAATTTTGACTGTTCCAAAATCATGAAAGGTTCAATCTTGACATGCTTTAAGTCTTGTTTTTTTATCATTGCGTATCGAGATATGTATCGTATCGTGACCAGAATATCGAGATGCGTATCGTATCGTGACCTTCCTGTATCGTTGCAGCCCTAGTTACAAGTAGACATTACAGGTAGGAATTGATTACAAATATTCACTTGTTACAAGAAGGCATTACAGGTAGGGATTTGTTGAAAGTACTCACTTGTTAAAAGTAGGCATTCAGTACAAGTTAGCACTTGTTACAAGTAGGCATTACAGGTAGGAATTGATTACAAATATTCACTTGTTACAAGAAGGCATTACAGGTAGGGATTTGTTGAAAGTACTCACTTGTTAAAAGTAGGCATTCAGTACAAGTTAGCACTTGTTACAAGTAGGCATTACAGGTAGGGATTTGTTGAAAGTACTCACTTGTTAAAAGTAGGCATTCAGTACAAGTTAGCACTTGTTGCAAGTAGGCATTACAGGTAGGGATTTTTGAAAGTACTCACTTGTTAAAAGTAGGCATTCAGTACAAGTTAGCACTTGTTACAAGTAGGCATTACAGGTAGGGATTTGTTGAAAGTACTCACTTGTTAAAAGTAGGCATTCAGTACAAGTTAGCACTTGTTACAAGTAAGGGTGAAACGATACACCGATATTCCGATGCATCGCGATATTTGACCCACGATACGATATACAGTAAACGTGGGCCCATTTATCGATACGCCACGATACGGAACGCAAACCTCAAGTACAACGTTTCCTCGCTATTGTGCCTTTCAATAAACCGGTAACTTGGTTATAGTGCGCGCTAACGCATGGCTCCTCAAAACGTACTTACATTTTTAATAAGCTCAGATTTTACACCGACAGATGTTTTTCCCCATCTCATAAAACGTTATCAGCTGATCACCGCAAGCACATAACACCGAAAATACCAGTCAGCAAATCTGTACTGAAGTATGCAATTCAATACCATTATTATACTATCTTGTTATTAAAACGTGTTCATTGTATATCTGGACTTGTGTTTGTAATATATTTTATTAATTTTATTCAAAATTTCATTTAATATTGTTTTCATTAAGTTATGTGAAATCGTGTGTGAAGAGATACAGCAACCACAGTCAGATTACCGCTTTTGACGCATTGAAACAAACTTTAGTTGCTAGAGAATGGATACATATATTAAAAATGCCATACTTTGACTCGTTAAAAGTCATATTTGTGGCAATTTGGCTAATATATGTCAACATAACGTTATCGCAATCGAAATACATGTAGCACGGGAAGTCCCTAGGGTGACTGGTCAAATTGTTCCATATGTAAAAATATTCTGCAACAGCAATCACCAGTACCAAAATGCTACACTTGTGGTTCTTATAATTATAAATATATATATAGTAAAAGCTGCAACTAAGGTAACACGATATTGGAATAAATTATTCCTGAAAAAACAATAATTTCAGATACAATTTCTTCGACCATTGCATCAAAATTCTTTGAAGTTGTATCACTGGTGGAGTACATTAATTATTTTCTGGTGTTTGAACTTTGAATTGTTTTGAAGGAAAGTTGAACAACTTCAGTAGTCTTGTTATTATAAAATAATTTTGACTGTTCCAAAATCATGAAAGGTTCAATCTTGACATGCTTTAAGTCTTGTTTTTTTATCATTGCGTATCGAGATATGTATCGTATCGTGACCAGAATATCGAGATGCGTATCGTATCATGACCTTCCTGTATCGTTGCAGCCCTAGTTACAAGTAGACATTACAGGTAGGAATTGATTACAAATATTCACTTGTTACAAGAAGGCATTACAGGTAGGGATTTGTTGAAAGTACTCACTTGTTAAAAGTAGGCATTCAGTACAAGTTAGCACTTGTTACAAGTAGGCATTACAGGTAGGAATTGATTACAAATATTCACTTGTTACAAGAAGGCATTACAGGTAGGGATTTGTTGAAAGTACTCACTTGTTAAAAGTAGGCATTCAGTACAAGTTAGCACTTGTTACAAGTAGGCATTACAGGTAGGGATTTGTTGAAAGTACTCACTTGTTAAAAGTAGGCATTCAGTACAAGTTAGCACTTGTTGCAAGTAGGCATTACAGGTAGGGATTTTTGAAAGTACTCACTTGTTAAAAGTAGGCATTCAGTACAAGTTAGCACTTGTTACAAGTAGGCATTACAGGTAGGGATTTGTTGAAAGTACTCACTTGTTAAAAGTAGGCATTCAGTACAAGTTAGCACTTGTTACAAGTAAGGGTGAAACGATACACCGATATTCCGATGCATCGCGATACTTGACCCACGATACGATATACAGTAAACGTGGGCCCATTTATCGATACGCCACGATACGGAACGCAAACCTCAAGTACAGCATTTCCTCGCTATTGTGCCTTTCAATAAACCGCTAACTTGGTTATAGCGCGCGCTAACGCATGGCTCCTCAAAACGTACTTACATTTTTAATAAGCTCAGATTTTACACCGACAGATGTTTTTCCCCATCTCATAAAACGTTATCAGCTGATCACCGCAAGCACATAACACCGAAAATACCAGTCAGCAAATCTGTACTGAAGTATGCAATTCAATACCATTATTATACTATCTTGTTATTAAAACGTGTTCATTGTATATCTGGACTTGTGTTTGTAATATATTTTATTAATTTTATTCAAAATTTCATTTAATATTGTTTTCATTAAGTTATGTGAAATCGTGTGTGAAGAGATACAGCAACCACAGTCAGATTACCGCTTTTGACGCATTGAAACGAACTTTAGTTGCTAGAGAATGGATACATATATTAAAAATGCCATACTTTGACTCGTTAAAAGTCATATTTGTGGCAATTTGGCTAATATATGTCAACATTACGTTATCGCAATCGAAATACATGTAGCACGGGAAGTCCCTAGGGTGACTGGTCAAATTGTTCCATATGTAAAAATATTCTGCAACAGCAATCACCAGTACCAAAATGCTACACTTGTGGTTCTTATAATTATAAATATATATATAGTAAAAGCTGCAACTAAGGTAACACGATATTGGAATAAATTATTCCTGAAAAAACAATAATTTCAGATACAATTTCTTCGACCATTGCATCAAAATTCTTTGAAGTTGTATCACTGGTGGAGTACATTAATTATTTTCTGGTGTTTGAACTTTGAATTGTTTTGAAGGAAAGTTGAACAACTTCAGTAGTCTTGTTATTATAAAATAATTTTGACTGTTCCAAAATCATGAAAGGTTCAATCTTGACATGCTTTAAGTCTTGTTTTTTTATCATTGCGTATCGAGATATGTATCGTATCGTGACCAGAATATCGAGATGCGTATCGTATCGTGACCTTCCTGTATCGTTGCAGCCCTAGTTACAAGTAGACATTACAGGTAGGAATTGATTACAAATATTCACTTGTTACAAGAAGGCATTACAGGTAGGGATTTGTTGAAAGTACTCACTTGTTAAAAGTAGGCATTCAGTACAAGTTAGCACTTGTTACAAGTAGGCATTACAGGTAGGGATTTGTTGAAAGTACTCACTTGTTAAAAGTAGGCATTCAGTACAAGTTAGCACTTGTTGCAAGTAGGCATTACAGGTAGGGATTTTTGAAAGTACTCACTTGTTAAAAGTAGGCATTCAGTACAAGTTAGCACTTGTTACAAGTAGGCATTACAGGTAGGGATTTGTTGAAAGTACTCACTTGTTAAAAGTAGGCATTCAGTACAAGTTAGCACTTGTTACAAGTAGGCATTACAGGTAGGAATTGATTACAAATATTCACTTGTTACAAGAAGGCATTACAGGTAGGGATTTGTTGAAAGTACTCACTTGTTAAAAGTAGGCATTCAGTACAAGTTAGCACTTGTTACAAGTAGGCAGGTAGGGATTTGTTGAAAATAGTCACTGTTAAAAATTTTAATGCTGAATATGTGCATTTACTTGTTACGACAGATTACATAGCGGCTGTGGTGAGGTGGTTTGACGACCTACTGCCCCGAGTCCGCCCCCTGCTCTACAATAACGGAGGGCCGATCATCTCCGTGCAGGTGAGGAAAGTACTTGTGTCTTCAAGATTTAGCTGACGTCAACTCGCACAATAAGAGACCTGTGAAGATGCGGGGTACAATAGGTCTTCACCAACCCATGCTTGTTGTAAGAGGCGACTAACGGGATCAGGTGGTCAGGTTCGCTGACTTGGTTGATGCATGCCATCGATCCCAATTGCGTGGATCAATGCTCATGATATCAATCACTGGATTGTCTGGTCCAGACTTGATTATTTACAGACTGCTGTCATATAGCTGGAATATTGCTGAGTGCGGCGTTAAACAACAAACCAACCCACCAAATCACACAATCAGAATCCATATAATGAAATGATTGGAATGTGTGTTGCTGTAATATTTATCTCTTTTTTCTCTTTTTTTTTGTTGAGGAACTATTTCTGACAGCCCTCCTACCGCTCATCAACAAGGGAGCTAACTCAGTTATGTTTTGCTTGTACGTCAGTCAAACTATTTAAGAACCCCAGTTATCTCCCTTTAAGTCCTTGGCATACTGAGTCCTAAAGGACGTGTGTGTTCTTCCCTGCACTTCAGTGTGGATCCCCTGGTGGAGGGCAATGAAGGATTATCACAGGTCAGCTCTGTGAAATGGCTAAATAGTGTGGCATCGTGGCCCCATGGTATGAATAACTCACTCACTCACTCACTCACTCACTCACTCACTCACGTATGCACTCACTCACGCATGCACTCACTCACCCAACCTCTCACTCACTCACTCACTCATGCACACTCACTCATTCACCCACCCTCTCACTCACTCACTCACTCACTCACTCACTCTCTCAACCATCCACCCTCACTCACTCACTCATGCAAACTCACTCACCCACCCACCCTCTCACTCACGCACTCATGCAAACTCACTCACCCACCCTCTCACTCACTCACTCACTCATGCACACTCACTCGCTCACCCACCCTCTCACTCACTCACTCACTCACTCACTCACTCACTCACTCACCAAATCTGTCACTCACCAACTCTCTCACTCACTCACCAACTCTCTCACTCACTGCAGGTTGAGAATGAGTATGGGTCGTACTTCGCCTGCGATCACGACTACCTCCGGACACTCCGTGACATAATGCGGTCACACCTGGGTGATGACATCGTCCTCTTCACAACAGATGGCCCTGGTGCAAGCTTCCTCCGATGCGGGACACTGGAAGGACTGTACGCTACCATTGACTTTGGGCTGACAGGTTAATATTACAATTACAACTTTATATACTCTGGAAACGGAACTCACTGCTCAGGTAATGTTTTGTCGATTGATTGGTAAAATCTTGTAAATGTTCAAATTAAAATTGACAGATTCATAAAACGTTATGACTTAACCCATCTTTTATAATGTCCTATCAGATTTAAACATGCCCTCGCAACTTGAAGACATCGTAAATTATATTTAAGAGGGAAGTGCTAGTGACTTGTTCCCCATAGCTGTAGCTGGGCAAAGCAGATCAATGAACGCAATCACTGAACAATCGCACCCAATAGTAGAAGAGATATTAAAATCGATTTGGGGAGAAAAGGTACAAATAAACAACATTATAATTGTGTGAATATCTGGGAAATACCAAACAAACCCTGTTAATAAAATAGACTTGTTCGACATTGCCGAGGTCGGATTGTATTCAGGGCGTCATCATTATTTTAATATGGGTAATATTTTTAAAGCTTCTACATATTATTATCACCCTTAAAGAGGTTGTACAAAATGTTGAAATCTCATGTAAGAAATAAACGACTTGTGGTCATTTTTTTGTTTATTTTCCCTGCAATGTTTTATTGTACGATCAACGAATCCCACTCGACATTTATGTCTAAATATATATGTGATATTCCAAATTGTAACTTGTTATACCCCCGTTTACGAAGTAAATCGGGGGTATATAGCGTTCCGTCCGTCTGTCCTTCCGTCCAAGCTTTTGTACGGCCATAACTTTTTAACCATGCACCCTAGCTTATCCAAACTTTCTACACACATTAACCACAATGAGTACTTGTGCCTTTTGCTAGTTTGAAGATTCTGAACTCTTTAATTTTTGCTGTTTCCATGGAAACATTAGAAACTTAAACTTTCTTTGTACGGCCCATATCTTTTTAACCATGCACCCTAGCTTCACCAAACGTGCTACACCCATTTACCACAATGAGCTAGTTTGAAGATTCTGAATTTTTTAATTTTTGCCGTTTCCATGGACACATTAAGAAACATCAAGAATGTATGTTGTGCTAAGCATTGATTATCCCACACTAGATTGAAATATATTTGCAAAAACATGTGTTCATTTCAAACATGATGCATCCTCATGGGGGGTTACAAAGGAAAGGGCAGTTCCTCTGACTTAAAGCAACAGGTATATTTCATTTATTAACAAACTATTTAGTATTTGTTGTTGACCAGCGAGGATAACGGGGGTATGTGAGCTTTGCTCACCTCTTTCTTGTTCTATTTGTATTGCTTGGCACATTGTGTTAGTTTGGCCCTCTTCACAGCAGGGCTCGATTTAAGGAACTTGACTGTACTTGCACCTGGTGCATAGTTGCACCGGACATAGCCAGGTTCTCCCCTTGTCCCATAAACTTAACAAAGTTGAAACATTATAAGTTGTTTCAGTATCACAAGGGGTATATATGGTTTTAGGTTTCATGTCATGACCTGGGCCCACTTGCACAAAGCGACCTTAGCGCTAAGACTATCGTAAGCCTATGTTAAAGTATGGGGGTTACGATCATCTTAGCGCTAAGATCGCTTTGTGCAAGTGGGCCATGGAGGCGAGTGGCATAAACTATAAACGAGGGACACATTAAACCCCATGTACCCCGAGTGATAATGCAACGACGAATTTTTCTTACCGACATGTTTTAATCTGTCATTGTAAAAGAATTTATACAAATTAAAAATTGATAGAAAAAACTGCTCAATTGAGCTGAGTTTAACCTGTGCCTTGTCACGTGACTTCCAATGATTCGGAAAAGCGTGCAGATTTTTGCTTTGAAGTGGGGTATAAGGGATTTATTCTGCCTCTGAGAAATCCATGTGCAGCATGATTTGCTCGTAGCTGAGAAATATATTTCCCCTCCAAGGCGGGTGAAAGTATCTCATCATTCTGACATGGAGGTATGATAAATATTTTATCAAGATCACGTGGACCAATCAGATCTTGTCATTCTGACATTGAGGTATGATAAAGTATTTTATCAAAATCACATGGTGGACCAATCCGATCTCGTCATTCTGACATGGAGGTATGATCAAGTATTTTATCAACATCATGTGGATCAATCAGATCTCATCATTCTGACATGGAGGTATGATAAATATTTTATCAAGATCACGTGGACCAATAAGATCTCATCATACTGACATGAAGGTATGATAAAGTATTCGATCCCCAGCTTTAGCACAGACTTATAACAGTCCTAGCCCTGAAATTGAATGGGTCATGGCCTCGTGGGCCATAGTTTGTTTAATGTGTTACAGGACTGCTTCCGTGGTCTAGTGGTAGAGCGTCTGCCTGGAGAGCGCAAGGTCCGGAGTTCGATCCCCGGCCGCGTCATACCAAAAGACGTTAAAAGATGGTACTTGTTGTTACCCTGTCTGGCGCTCGGCATTAAAGGGCTAAAACAAGGACTGGTCGGCTCGGAGTCAGTATACTGTGTCCGAGTAGGGCATGGTACCCAGTGTGTTAGCACTATAAAATGGCATCAGTCCGGACTAGTACAAGCAGCCATACACACGTGCATGCACGTTGCTATATAAGTGCAATAATCTTAGACGAGACGTTAAACCCCATTTCACCACTTTCTTAAATACCTATCCAAGGTTTGACACAACCGAAAATGATAAATAAAGTAGAAATACTCAGGAACCTGACTTTTACTTCGAGACGAACGTAAGTTCAACACATCAAAGTTTGACACAATGGTTTTTGACTGTACTTGTGCCCCATGAAGATCTGGCTTAGAATTGGTCTTCAACAACCCATGCTTGTCTCCCCCCGTGAAGATCAAAGTTAGAATCTATCTTCAGCAACTCATGCTTTTCTCATGGTTGAAAAGATCAGGGTTAGAATTCGTATTCAGTAACCTATCCTTGTTGTAAGAGGCGACGAACAAGATTGGGTTGTCGAGCTTGATCACTTGGTTGAAGCTTGTTGAGTCATCCTTACCTTGTCATCTTGCTGACAGCGTTAACCTCTTTGGTCATGTGGACAAGGCGTCCGACCTCTGATCAGAAGGTCCTTGGTTCGAATCCCATCACGGGACTCAGAAATTTTATGGCCGCTACACTTGTCACGTATCCCAATCTCGTTGATTGGTGCTCATGATCAATCACTGGATTAATTATGGGCAATTAAATTATGGAAAAATATATCTGTCGTACATAAATATTTCAGCATAAATAACGATATTTATCTTTCAGCTATGTTTTTTTCCACCAAAATAATATTCTAATAAGAGCCCCCTTTTTCTAATTTTGAGAGCGCCCTGGGCGCTTATTACGTCGAATACGGTACTTGCAAGACTCTAATGGTGAATTAACCCTTCCAGACTCCCCCGAGAAAATGTTTGCTGCCCAGCGTCAGTTCCAACCTCACGGGCCTCTGGTGAGTCAGCTGATGGAGACTCTTGCTGGAAATGTCACACGGCACTAAACTCAGTTTGGCTGAGACAGAAAAGGATGTTCCTTCTGTTGTCTTCGTTATCTCATAATCTCTGGACCCGTGAAGATCGGGGGTAGAATAGGTCTTCAGCAACCCGTGCTTGGCGTAAAGGCGACTATGATTGTCGTAAGAGGCCACTAACGGCATCGGTTGGTGAGGCTCGCTGACTTGGTTTGAGCATGTCATCGATCCCGATTGTGTGGATTGATGCTCATGATATCAATCACTGGATTGTCTTGTCCAGACTCGATTATTTATAGGCTGCCGTCCTATAGCTGGAGTATTGCTGAGTGCGGCGTTAAACAACAAACAAACAAACCAATCATAATCTCTGTTGTCTCAGACATTACTGTAAACAACAAGAGACACTGATTTTTCATCTTTCAAACAATTTGAAACATGCACACTGGGGCCTGATATTAGAATTTCAGTGTGGATAAAATCATGTCTTTATTTCAGACATGAAAGCAAAAGTGTTTGTGATATACATTTGCAATTGTTTTTTTGTAATGAAATACAAGCATTATTGAATCAACACTTCCAAGAATATTTGAATCAACACTTTAAACAATATTTGTTAATTTACCTATTTCAATATTTTGTTTCAAACAATGGATCTCTGAATGCAGAACATTAAATATAATGTTTAGTTGCCGATTATAGATACTTAATAGATACATATTTTCAGTCAAGTGAACACCAGTGTTAATCATTCTAGATCTGGAGACAATGTTCACATGGAATCCTGAAGTGTTGGTCTGTTTGCAGGTGTGTTCTGAGTTCTATGTGGAGTCCCCCCTAGACTATTGGGGATACAACCACTCCAGGCAGTCGCCCCAGCAGGCAGCGGAAAGTCTGGATCTCTTGCTGGCATATGGCGCCAATATCAACATGTAGGTATATCTTGTGGCATATGATGCCAATGTCAACATGTAGGTATATCTTGTGGTATATGATGCCAATGTCAACATGTAGGTATATCTTGTGGTATATGATGCCAATGTCAACATGTAGGTATATCTTGTGGTATATGATGCCAATGTCAACATGTAGGTATATGTTGTGGTATATGATGCCAATATCAACATGTAGGTATATCTTGTGGTATATGATGCCAATGTCAACATGTAGGTATATGTTGTGGTATATGATGCCAATATCAACATGTAGGTATATGTTGTGGTATATGATGTCAATGTCAACATGTAGGTATATCTTGTGGTATATGATGCCAATATCAACATGTAGGTATATCTTGTGGTATATGATGCCAATGTCAACATGTAGGTATATCTTGTGGTATATGATGCCAATGTCAACATGTAGGTATATCTTGTGGCATATGATGCCAATGTCAACATGTAGGTATATCTTGTGGTATATGAAGACAATGTCAACATGTAGGTATATCTTGTGGTGTATGGTGCCAATGTCAACATGTAGGTATATCTTGGGGTATATGATGCCAATGTCAACATGTAGGTATATCTTGTGGCATATGATGCCAATGTCAACATGTAGGTATATCTTGTGGTATATGAAGACAATGTCAACATGTAGGTATATCTTGTGGTATATGAAGACAATGTCAACATGTAGGTTTATCTTGTGGTATATGAAGACAATGTCAACATGTAGGTATATCTTGTGGTATATGATGCCAATGTCAACATGTAGGTATATCTTATGGTATATGAAGCCAGTGTGCACATGTTTGTGTATCCTGCTGGAAATTGCCAGTTTTCAATTGCCAGTAAAGTGTGTTTGTCTCTTCTGTAGGTATATGTTTGAAGGAGGAACCAACTTTGGGTATTCAAGTGGTAAGTCTGAGTGTAGCCATGGTAACAATATATATTGTTATACCTCAGTTGAGAATCTTTGAGTTTCATAGGTTAATCCATGTCATGTGATAGAATCATAGATTTCAATACTGCCCTAACAAAAGAAAATTGACCTGCAAAGGTTTGGTCAAGTCACTCACACTGACCTTGAATGCTGGCCTGTCGTATGATCAATATTGACTTTGTTGACAATAAAGCAACATGCTGGAGCAATACAATGCTTTTTCTGAAGAAGCTCCGTTCAAACAAACACTTCATGATCGGGACTGTGAAGTTGAAAGTCAGCTTTTTATTTATGAATTTTGTCATTACAAAACAATTACATGATTACTCTTGGCGAAGTCATTATGCAAAACATGGACCAAAGGACCCAAGGGCCCAACCCCTTCAGTTATCTGTCCCAATCTCATTAAAATCAGATTGTTAATCTGATACAATACCTGTCTGTGTCAAGATCTGAGGACTCCTCAGTATCATATTGGAGAGGTTTCATATCAGATGTATCGTATCAGAGAGGTATTGTATTTTTGAGGAATTGAAAATCCAAAGTTCCGAATCCCCAGTTCCATGGTATAGTTTTGATAGCTGAATAACTACTCTTGTATACAGACAGTCAGATTAGATAGAAATTCTCTCATCAAGTTGGACTTACTGTAACAGTCAGATGATTTGTTCTTTCGTATTTGTGGGGTCAGTCGGGTAGCCTAGTGGTTAAAGCGTTCACTTGTCACGCTGAAGCCCCGGGTTTAATTCCCGACATGGGTACAATGTGTGAAGCCCATTTGTGGTGTTCCCTGCCGTGATATTGCTGGAATATTGCTCAAAGTGGCGTAAAACCATACTCACTCACTCACTCACTTTCGTATTTGTGGGGGCAGGGGGGATTTGTCATCTTCTGATGACTCTTGGTTTATTGATGATGTAACAATCGGATATCTGTGTTCCGCATCAGAAGCAGACGTTGTGTGTTTCAGGAAGTTTATCAGGAAAGGGGAGCAAGGTGAAAGTTGCCACGACGACGTACGACCACGGGGCTCCCATGTCGGAGGCAGGAGATCTGGGGGAGAAGTACCACGCGATACGCAAAGTTGTGTATAAAGTGAGAAATATCTGCCTCTTCATATCTGTCTCTTCATTATTGCCATTGTCAGAATTTTTACCAAAGTGGCAAATGCCTCACTTCAGGCTTTCCTCGCACATCAAACTGACACACGGTGATAGTTTTCAAAGCGGTGTTAAACCAAACTCGCTCAATATAAAAAATATAGTTTTCATTTTTTGGAATTTTGCACTTATACATTTTCTTCGTCTCCTCTTGAGTTACTGTTTGTTTGTTTGTTTGTTGTTTAACGCCGCTCTCAGCAATATTCCGGCTATATGACAGTGGTCAGTAAATAATCGAGTCTGGACCAGACAATCCAGTGATTGACCTCGAGTTACTGCATTTTTGACATCAGTCAGAAACTTCAAGGCCTGTGGGGCTGAAACTTTGTGTGAGTCGTCCCAGATATGGTATTTCACAGAATTGTCATTTTTACCTGGTAGTCTGCTGTTTCTGCATGTATCTTTATGAAAGTTAATATTCAGGAAGTTTTTAGTTTGTTCTTAAATATGAAATATGTTTTTGGGGCACATTTCGATATTTGATCAAGCTGTGACCTTTGACGTTCACCTATCTCGCGTATAGATCACCTGACTGAAAGAGTTGTGTCCCTTGGGCATGCCAGAAACCTATGATTGTGGGTTCGAATCCCGGTTCGCCCCGATTATATTTCTAGGTTTGTCAGCACCATACCCGTGCTCGTGGGTTTCACCAAAGTGGTAAACGTCTGAAACCTGCATCACTTCGGGCTTTCCTCCCAAATTAAGCTGACACGCCGCGATATAACTGGAATACTGTTAAAAGCGGCGTTAAACCCAACTCACTCACTCACTCTGTTTGTTCCAGTATGTGAAGCGGCCAGTTGAACCAGTCCCGCCTGACACGGTGAAGTTTGCGTACGGTCAAGTGAGGCTGAAGTTGGTGAGAATAACTGTGTGACCAGGGTCGTGTTCCAAAATGTTTTTATAGTGCTTAAATGATCATAATTCTGCTACTTTAGCACAGACTTATAACAGTCCTAGCCCTGAAATTGAATGGGTCATGGCCTCGTGGGCCATAGTTTGTTTAATGTGTTACAGGACCGCCTCTGTGGTCTAGTGGTAGATCGACGCAATTGGTAAACGATGACATGCATTAACCAAGTCAGCCTACTCGGCCAACTACAATGATTAACGTGATGTTTTCGGTGACCATTATTATTTCATGTTTGTTCAAAATATAAATAAGTCTAAATAAAAATTATAATGAAACGTATTTTAGATTTCTTCTTTTTGCGCACTTGTATTTATAATGAACATAATTACCATATTGCTGCTACTCATGGGTTTGTGCAATGACTTCACATCATCATGTGATTCAACACATTCATTTGTTGACCACCTCCGTGACTAGTGGTAGAGCGTCTGCCCAGAGAGCGCAAGGTCCGGAGTTCGATCCCCGGCCGCGTCATACCAAAAGACGTTAAAAGATGGTACTTGTTGTTACCCTGTCTGACGCTCGGCATTAAGGGGCTAAAACAAGGACTGGTAGGCTTGGAGTCAGTATACTGTGTCTGAGTGGGATATTCATGTTAAACTGCGGCATGGTATCTCAGTGAGCTAGCACTATAAATCGGCATCAGTCCGGACTAGTACAAGCAGCCACACAAACACACACACACGTACATGCACGTCGCTATATAAGTGCAATAATCTTGGACGCGACGTTAAACCCCATTTCTCCTCACCTAATGTGTTACAGATCAGATATATCTTGTGTGTATCGTGATATACATTGATATGTGTTTTGTTAGTGTTAAAACACTCCTCCTCAGTTTTGTTTGGAAATATAAAAACATCAGAGAGGGAAAAGCCCAATGGTCGAAGATTTTTCATTTTCAACCAACACTGAGGAGGGTGTGTAACTAACTCATGAACTTATGGTCTAAATGCCAGAAATACCACATAGAAAATACATTGGGATACCTTATAGGGAAACAATACAGTAGTCATGGTATAAAACAAATTCAATGAGAGCGGGTGAGAAAAAGACCATGTGCAGCATGCAGACAACTGAAGTCATGACATGTAAGACTGAACACCTGTCATTACTTGCCCTGGTGGCTCAGAAGGGAAACAGTGGGTTATGATACTATACAGGATATGTCAGGTGGAAGGTTCAATTCATGTCGCAGAATTTTCATGTAAAAAATTGTGACTTAAGACCAGTTGAAAATATAGATGCATATTGCAAGGATATTTATGAAACTTTGATGATGTAACACTCTTCATTTAAGTTACAGGGCATTCTCCGAGAATGGAGGAATGGATACCAGCAAATGAGTTTGCAGGCTTACCACTACAGTCATGCCCCGCTTATTCAGACTTCAGATATCCGAAAACTTCGGTTCCCGGACGATTTTCATTCAAAACGAAATAATTACTATATAAATTTACCCGTATATACGGAAATTCAGTTTCCGGAACCGGATGGTCATTCTCATACACGAAACACTGAAATGCACACAAAATTGTCTCACTTACCCGGACAATACACTTCTGCTGGTGGTAATCCTTCCTCTGGTGGTAATCCTTTGATTCTTGAGAAGTCAATTAACCAAGTGACACTGAGTTACGTTTGAGACGAGCTTGTTTATTGTACATGTAATCCCATTCGATTAATATGGCGTCTCGCGATTTTGGTGGCAAAATGGACATTTCTGACTTTGCATATTCTCGTGGGTGGCTCATTCGATTCAAATCCAGACATAGTGTATCATGTAGGATGGAAGGAAGCTTGTGCTTGTATAGAGACCTTGATTACATATTACGAGAACACAGGCGATCTGGACAATTTGGAATTATTGTTTAAAATTCAAACCTCAAAATGTGGTAAAGTTCAAACTTCAATGACAGATTTTTTTAAACATGTATGTCTTGAATAAAGATTGAGTGGATGTATCTGTTTGCTCTGTCATCTGTCATGAGTTGCATAATTGAAGGGAAGTAACTCTTCCAGTAAGAAGCTGGTTTCAGTTATACGGAAATTTGTTTATACGGACAAATTGTGAAATGACGCAAGTGTCTGTATAAATGAGGCATGACTGTATTTGAAGAAACCTTAAGAACAATAGGATCACATCACAATAGTGTTAGGGAGGTCAGCTATTTCCTATGTGTACTGTGTTACAGATTGATATCTGGTGTATATCACATGTTACAGGTAGATATCTTGGCCCCGTTCCTCAAAGCGATCTTAGTGCTACGACTATCGTAAGCCAATGTTAAAGTATGGGACTTACAATCACCTGAGCGCAAAGTTGGCTTTGTGGAATGAGGCCCCGGTGTATATCACATGTTTCAGGTAGATATCTGGTGTATATCACACATTACTGGTTGATATCTTGTGTCTGACAGTGGCTATATCTTGTGTTACAGGTCGGTGATATCCTGGATGTCCTGCCCTCTGTGACCCTGCGACCTGTCAAGTCTGTCTACCCGCTCTGTATGGAGGATATACATCAGGTCACTATATCAGGTCTCCTTAGAACTGGTCCCCAGTAATCTCTGCTTGTTGTATGACCTACGGATTGGGTGAGTGAGTGAGTGAGTGAGTGAGTGAGTGAGTGAGTGAGTTGGTTTTTACGCCGTTTTTAACAGTATTCCAGTTATATCGCGGCGTGTCAGCTTAATGTGGGAGGAAACCTGAAGTGATGCAGGTCTCAGACGTTTACCACTTCGGTGAAACCCACGAGCACGGGTATGGTGCTGACAAACCTAGAAACATAATCGGGGCGAACCGGGATTCGAACCCACAATCATAGGTTTCTGGCGTGCCCAAGGGACGCAACTCTGCACAGCGAATCGCAGCACCTTAGACGACTGGGCCACCCGTGCTCCCCACGGATTGGGTGGTCACTCAGTGTCTTGGTTGATGACGTACCCTGACTGGTCCAGACTCTATCAACAGGTCACTTTCTTATGGCTGGAATATTGCAAAGGTGTTACCATGTGACTATATACTAGGGCTGGGACGGGTAAATCGGGTACCGGGTCGGGTGGGTACTGAGTAGGACCCAGGTACCCACAGGACTACCCGGACCCATGGTTAGTCATGTGATATATAGTTTAATGACAAAAATTATCAAGAACTCTATGGTTACACTACAAGTCACTAATGTTCGCATTTCTTTCTGACTAAGCATCCATTCCTTCTGATTTTTCATATGGTTGAATAAGATATAACTTAAGTCAACTTCAGTGTATGCATGACCAGATTGTTTAATACATGTATCTAAATACGTTTTGCCAGGGCTATGCTAAAAATGTTCCCAAAGGGACATTTTGAGACAGCTCCTGAGACCTACAGTGGGTACCCGGGTAGGGTCGGGTAATAGGGGAGTGGGTACCCAGGTAGTAAATTTGGACTCGTCCCAGCCCTACTATATTCCTCACTATCATCATGAAAAGGTCGCTATGTGACTATACATCTCCTCCTGATTGCTAACATCAATGACACAATTATTCTCAATGAAACTTTTTCTAACTGACAAAAGAAAGGCGAATACCATACATGTTGGTTAATATATGTAGAATTACTCATATTCAAGAGATGTTAGATTGGTTGGATAAAAAAACGAACATATTCTTATGTTGTGTGAACCGACGGTCATGAATGCATGACATGTGATGTCATAGATCCATGGGGCGGTTGGGTAGCCTAGTGGATTGAGTGTTCGCTCGTCACGCGGATTCTATTCCCGACATGGGTACAATGTGTGAAGCCAATTTCTGGTGTACCCCGCCATGATATTGCAAAAAGCGGCATAAAACCATACTCACTCACTCGCTCTTTTCACAAGCCTGCAGCTACTGCATTCCGTTGTCCGTAGTCTCCATGCTGGCATTTCCCTCAGACAGTTAAATGTAGGGCTGACAGTTTAACTACTGCAATAGTATTCTGTATGGCTGGGACGAGTCCAATTTACAACCCGGGTACCAACCCCACTATTACCCGACCCTACTCGATGTCAGTGATAATAATATATGCACCCAGCAGCGACAGTGGTCAAGTTTCCAAGAGGGGCTAGTCAGGGAATCAGGAATGATGAGTGATCCTCACATGAATTTGGTTACCGAAGCGACGAAAAGAGTGGGAGATGCGCAAACACGCCACTGCCCCCTTATTACAACCTACCAGCAACTGGAAAGTTCCATAACATAGAACATTACAGAAATTCCATATGTTTCTATACATAATATCACCATCCGCGGTATACAGACCGGAAGTTCACACACCACACTAGCATCTAAATATAGTAACTTCCTGATGACTAATTACTGTCTAAACACAATGTAATGAACATCTACCGATTCTCAACAGAAACAATGTGACACTGTTACAATCAAGTTTAACCCCCTGGATGCCATTTGGACATATATGTCCCTACACAAAACACAGTTGCTGTGCCAGAGGGACATATATGTCCTTCTGAAACATCATGTTAAAAGAATTGAAATAAAATATTTTTGGATTACCCCAAGCCCATAGCAATTGCAACATCGCAAAAAGCAGTAAATTTCCATCACATCTGTGTCATTTTCACAACTCTACTGTCAATAAATAACGCATATGGAGTTAGTCAAATTCCCCTTGTTTACACTTTCGTTCAAATGTGCCGCCATTGAAATATTTTTTCATTTCGAACAAATTGCACCGACTGATTGAAAATCCATATGCGAAGGAATGTTTGAAACCTTCATAAATATTTTGGTTAAAAGATTGAAAATGGTCAAATATCTACGCATCTATGTATTAATTAGCTAATGAAACCAACTAAATGCCCAGTGTATCGATGGTGAATGGAGTGTATATATTTTTTTTACAGTATTTGTTCAAGGCCTCGTTCATCACATTCATATCAAAGCGTATTCAAAAACATTCATACAGTTATACATACCTACTGACATCTTTTAAAAACAGTCTGTGTGAAAATGTGCCACTCCTCATATTCATACGTATACTTAGAAATTCCATTCATGCTTCCTAAACCTCAAATTCTGCAAAAACACAGAAAAGGTACCGCAACTTTTTAGCCGAAACTTAAAACAAAATGGCGACCGAAGTTGAAGGTCGCTTAGCGGTACTTTTCATGAGAGAAAACAAGTCAAAAGCATGTCTCCCAGAAGAAACGAAAACGCACATGGTAAACCTTGACACACCCTCTTGGGTCTGTGTTGTTCATGTTTTGTGACTGATTATATGTAAGTCACGTTTTCGTATGTTTAATGAGGCGACCCAATTTATTACAAGACGTTGAAAAGTAGGTTGGTAGCAACGGCATATAGGATCTTATGCAGTGTCGAATATATTTATAATTTATTGGTTATATAAGTATATAAACAAGAACTATATGATGTTGAATTATGAACGTGTAAATGTCAGTTAAAATTACTTGAATACCGGTCCCCGATGAATCTATATATTTATTATTAGTTCGTATGTCTAAATATAAATAGCTAGCTCTTTGACAGTAGAATTCATTACTAAATTATTAATAATCTTTCGTTTAATTTCAGTATGTAAATTTGTATTCATGCGGTTTGTTATTGTTAAATACCTTATTATTATTGCAAGACTAAGTTTTTTTATTTCACGAATACAAATGAAGCTGTTACGGTTATCGACAGTTGGTTTCAATCATCCACCATAACGGGGTTGGCAAGAGCGGCAAATTTCCGATTGTTCGTCTGGAACGAAATACCGTGACCCGCGACCTTTGACATGCAACGTCACAGAGGTTACAGGTGCCCGAGTAAAACAAAATAAAGTTTGATGTTGAAATCACCAACAGTGTTAAATATGACATCCAATGTACATATTTATACATTATATGCTTTAATCTTTATCTTCGTGCTTTGTTTATCGAATCAGCGCGATGAACACAAATCAAATATAAAAAAAACGTTCGCCTCCCGCCGAGAGCATGAATATGCATAGGGATAAAAATAGCCCCATGTGACAGACGACAACATTGCGATCGAAGCTGTCCACCAAGAAGGAATAATGTCTGCGGTGGGAATTGGCGACGACGATGATTTGGGGGAGTCGGACTTCGAGTCGGACATATCCGTCGATTCTCTCGATTCCGACTCCGAGTCCGACTCCCAGGAAGAGATAAGCGGTAAGTAACATTAATTCATTTTCATTAATAATTGAGTAGGTGTACTGTCAGTGTAAAAGCAATGGCGGGAATAAGAATTTGTTATTTTTTTTTTAGCATTTTTCGAAATTGTAGGCTAGATCTACTCGTGATAGTTGTGATGTTTAAAATGTTAAAAATATCTACCATACCATGATAGTCATAGTAGAAACAGCAAACTACCTTGTTTAGTATTTCATGAAATTGATTTGAAAGAAAGTCTCTCATGGTAGTGAAGTTTTAACATGTCTACATGTGGCCTACACATGCTTTTGGTAAAGCTCAGTAATATTAATGGAAAAATGTCTTTGTTAAAAATTAAATTTATCTTGAAGGACACACTAGTTCACACTTTGGACATGAAGCCATATTTTTAAATGAGTATAGTGAGTCATTCCTAAAAAATCTAAAATGTCTAAGTTATTTTGAAATTTTAAAAATAAATGAATATGTTTCATAATTTTAAATGTTAAATGTTATAAATATATCTAAATGATGTAGATTAACATTTACTATAACTTACTAAGGGGAAAGGGGAGTGGCATTGCACCAAGTGACTGTTGTCCTTGTGCCAATGGGTTGGGGGGTCAGCGCACTGAACAAATGTTCCCTCACCGGGCAGGTAGCCCGGAGACGTGGAAGCTATGGCCAATTTTTTTTTTAAAATTTAGCATCATTGTAAAGCTTTTGATTTTAGTTCTCACCCTTGAAATGTTTGCATCATGATTACACAATTGTTTCCCTGTGACTACTCAAGGAAGCCCTTCAGTTTTCATTAATACATTCATGTGGAGCACATATATCCTAATCTTATCTTTATGTTGTAGTAATGAAGAATAAGTCTTTCAACATGTTTAATCTGTACCCAACTAAAAAGGTCACAGGTTATACATATTAATTACAAGCAAAATATTAGCCTTGACGAAAATAAAGTTGCCACATGAATATTGATACTGTGTTGTTAAATATTCACTAGATCTACAGGGTCTGAAACATTTCCTTCAATAAACTTAATATATGTCTATAGGTCTATATGTATATATATATGTGATATATTTATATCTTTATTTAAATTTAAGATTGATAACAAACATAAAATAAATTGGAGAAATGACAAACTTCCATGAAGCAATTTGCAAAAAGTATGTATCCAAGGGAGATATTATAGGACATAAACAAATCACATTATCTCCCCTTGATCACCAAGAAAACATGAGTCAGCAGTTGCTTAGTTCCAATTATGATAAGAAACATCCATGAAAATTTGCAAATTCAGCGATAGAAACTAACATTTTAGTCCACTAGTCCATATATTATAATGATGAGTATAACAAAACCCTATAAAATTGGCAAATGTCTACTAGTGCTTATGATACCTTAACTATTAGACTGTTTTGCAAATATATAATCAGGACAATGACATGGAAATTAATACCAGCTCACTTATCTGTAGACAAATTTCCAAATCTTCCCATTGTTTTAACAGTACAATGGAATTTTACCCTGTCTTGTAAAGTATTTTAGTTCCAACCCTTCATTTTGATTTCGGTGTTAAGCATCACATAAAAAAATACTAAAGAGGCAAACAAATAAACAAAGCTAACCATGTCCTCACTATTGTGATTGCATTAATTTATCTGCAACCTCTTAATTCTTATGCTTTAATTTTCAACCATGTCATTATTCAAAATTATTTGAAAAGCTTTTAAATTTCATGATATTTGAATTTTGATAATACAGTTTTACTCTGTCCAGGATATGGTCTGTGAAGTGGAATGATTCATACATGCTTTTTCCATGCTCCTATGTTATTTGAATGCATTGACACACTACACATATCTATCTTTTAACAAGGAATCCTTTCCCTTAGCACTTTTATATGTGATTGAAAAGGACATTATTAATAAGAAGCATTATTTCAAATTTCAGATCACGAGGAAAATAACCAAGAAGAGGCAGGGGCCAAACCAATGGTCCGTGGCCCCTGGCCGCCCGTGCTGGACACAGACAGCTTTGACCTCGGCAACAGCATTGACTTTGCCGAGGAGTGCGGCCCTGTCAACCCTCCAGGTAACAAGAATTGATAAATACAAATATCATTAAGTGCATGAATTCATAATCAACATAGACAATGCCTGTCATCCAAAACTAAGTAAGGAATTGTTTCATATTTGGTGTCTCGTTTAGGTATAAATGTGGATATAAGTTGTATGATATTAAGATTATCATTACATGTACATGTATCAAATACAATGATATATGTCAGCATGATTTATAATAATTCATGTAATAAATTATGATATATGTTTCAGATTACCATGCCCCTCCTATATGCTATTTTGAACAGCAACTCAGAGGAGGGGATGGAGGTGTTGATTTGTTCGACCTTATCTTCTGAACAGCTATTTCATAATGTTTGATTTTAATGTTTCATACTCATTTCATTTGCCTATCAGACATTCCTGAACACCCATGGTAGAACGACCTCCCGTCTGGACTTCCACATGTCCCTTCTCCACTCACTCGTCGGGAACACTCATGTGAAGAGGAGGACTGGCAGGCCCAGGACCCAGCCTCCTTCCCGACGACTGACCGGACGTCACTTCACAGAAGTGCTGCCTCAAGGGAAGAGGAAACAGTGTGTTCTCTGCAGAAAGAGACAGAGGACCTTCGATGGCTCCGCAGGAAAGGTCAGGACCTGGTGTCCTGACTACCACATTGGTCTCTGTGCACGCTGTTTCCGTCAGTATCACACAGTTGATCACATTGAAGAGTGAAAGGCTGTGTGTACTGGCATATGATGGAACATGACTCATGTTCCATCATATCAACCCTTCAAGCAGTTTCCCCATCTGTGTGCTTCATTGTAAATAACTAGTGAGTGAGTAGGACTTACGCCGCACTTGCAATATTCAAGCGACATCACAGCGAGTTATTGTATCTATGTACTTATTGTAAATGTTTCATATGTGTGTATATATATTAAAGGATGTTTTTGTGAGAGAGTATGACCTAACGTCGTATTTGCAATATAACAGCAACATCATGGCAATTCATTGTAAATAGATCATTGTCTATTGTATATGATTATGTACTTATTGTAAATGAAGTGAGTTTGTCTTATGCCTCTTTTAGCAATATTCCTGCAAAAATATGGCAGTTTAATGTATTTATGTTCATATTATGTTCTATATTTATTGTACATGTAATTATTGTGTGTTTGTAAGGATCTGTTGATGAGTAGGACTTCCCACTGAATCTGCAATATTCCAGCAACATCGCAGCGAATCTTAGTAAATAGATTGTATATATTGTATATTGGTACTTACTGTAAATACTCAATGTGTATATATATATTTCAGGATATATCTGTGAGAGTATGACTCCATGCTGTATTTGCAATATAGCAAATTATTTGCAATATAGCAGCAACATCACAGCGATTCATTGTAAATAGATTAAATTATATTAATGATATATATTATATATATTTACTGTAAATAGAAAATGGATTTGTGTATATATAAAAGGACATGTTGGTGCATGAGTATGATTCAACGCCACATTTACAATATTCCAGTTAATTCGTGGCGATTCATTGTATATGGATTATTGATCTTTTGTTCACAATTATGTACTTCATGTAAATAGAGTGAGTATGATTCATGCCGCTTTCAGCAGTATTCCAGCTAAGATGCGGCCCTTTTTTTAAACTTTATTGTACATAGTTTATATATTATTCACATGTAAATACTGTCAATAAATATGTATAGATTGAGAGATTTGTACATTTGTCTTATATATCTCATTTAAACAGTTACAAGATTTGTTACTGATGATACTTTTCAAAATATTAAATAAAGTACATTAAGGACAGTAAGTATAACAGTAAGGACCTTGGAATAAGAAATAATTTTCTAAAGTCTTTCCAATTACAGCCATATGAAAGTGTGGTTGTTCCTCTGGAATATTAACAAAATATTCAAAAATGTTCACAGATTATTCATGTATGCATATGTAAGCATACTTTTTAATTATTAATTGATATATGGAAATCGATTCTCCAATGTTATAACCAATGACTTACATACATCTACAGAACTAAAGAAACTTTTTACTTCTAGTCCTTATTATGATAAACCCTTAAAAATTGAACATTTCTTCTTGTCCGTATTATACCTTAACTATTGGTCAGTTTGGCAAGGACTATTGGACAACTGCCACGTCTTTGCCGTAACGTATTCTGATAAAGTTCGCTCAACAGACATAATGTAATCCATAAATTTTAGCGGTAAATGCCACGAGCAAGCGCGGACGTGAGAGAAGACAGCAAGCCGTGAACGTATTTGTTCCGGCTTGCGCAAATCTGAAATGATGCCCGTTTTTTTCGAGCGGGTAACCTGTGCCTTTTGGTGTTTACAAATTATTCATAGATTACCTTTTTTTCAAATTCGTCAAACATTACCAGGAATACATGGTTTGATTTGTATTAAATGTCCGTTGAAATATACTTCGGATAATGGTATTCATAACAGCTAGTCTACCACATCGCCATGGAAATCATTCGTCAAAAAGTTCCCGAAAGAGATCAATTTTGATTATACTTTGAACATTTCATGACAAAAATCACATATACATCCATCTGACTGTAATATATGTTAGCTAATACAGTTCCTTTGGGTTTGTGATCAGTGGATCCATGTCTTTAATACTGCTTGATGGTCACTCAGTGGCTGCTGATGTAAGCAGGGACGGAGATGGAAATCGGGAAAATATGACCAGATCGCAACGTTTGAATCTTTGATGAATCAATGCGTTTATCATCTCCAAATTACGACAGATTTCAGACCATCACTAGAACACTAAGCTTTGCTTACAGAATGATGTTCAAATGTACTTACTATCTCGGTTGCTGTCAAAGATGTTATAGTTAATCCAAAATCCCAAACACCGCTGAACACGGTCGACGACATTTTGAAATATTCAAAACTAAAGCTGTCGACAACACAAAAGGCATTTTCGTATTGTTTCTACTTCATGTGAATTTTTTTTATTGTTTTGTGTTTGTATAATCGTTATTAGTTAAAAATGAAAATAAAACAACGTTATTAAGGATTCATAAAGATACGAGACTAACTCGTTCAATCGTCTGTATGCAAATTTCGTCGACGTGCAAATGGACATGTCCGCCATCGCCTGGTAGGAGTATTTACAGTGAACTGATTGACATGAGCCGTGAGGAATACCTTTCGGTGCAAGAAAAGTAAAAATATGCCATGCATAAGGGCATGTTCTTTGCAGATTACATAGTATGATTTTCTTACTAAAAAATGAATAATGACCGAAAAGAAAAATAATTTATTGCAATGAAGAAAACACAACACCGCGTATAAGTTTTAGTTTGAAATGCGATTTCGTTCTCTTCTTTCTAAAAGTACGTAATTTTGAATTTCATAGCTAAGGTTACACGTTACAATTTATATCAGCATGTAGGTAATAAACCACAGATTTTAGGGATAAGATTTTATTCCTTACTCATAAATAGTTTTTTCATTAATATGCTTTTTCCGACATGATATGCAAACGATAACGTTACAATTTCACTAATTTACGGACAAAATGGCGTCACACATATTTGAACAAATTCGTAATCGACGATTTCGCGGACGATTTTCCACGGAGATGTTTCATTTTCAACACGGTAATCGGGAAACAAACGGGCTTTCGCATAATGTTTTTGGTTTTTATATTGGTGGAGATTTACAACCTGACAAGACGCTCAAAGTATCCAGTGCGCAATGTCAACAAAACAGCCGCCATGGACATTTTGTAAAAAATCGCATATTCAATACGTTTGCCGAGCTATAAACTACTGTTAATCACGTTAATGCTTTACAATATTTACATAGACAGTTAGGGAAATGGTTGTGCTGTTATAGTGTGAAATTTGAAAATTGTGGGTTTTATCGTTGTTACGTTACGTCGTTTTTAGACGAAAGTGTGCAGTTTCCAGAACGTCACTCGCAAATAAACTCGGCACAGCGATAGTACACAGGCTATTTTTAGGTGGCAGCCAGAGGGTTAAACAATAAAATACACTGTCATATAACAACATTCAAACATTGCAGAATTTCTACCTTTGTCAACATGATGTCAAAAAAAAACCTGTCAGATTGATGTATTAAGAGGTAGCTCATATTGTCTGGTGGCAATTTATGAATAGATTATGACTGGCAATGCATCAATAGTTTGATGACTCGTTACACCTCTTACCAACAACATGATCACCATGCTCCTTGTTCTTGCAATACTATGGTTTCACCCTGTACCGCCATGTCTCGGAGAAGTCCTATGTCAGCCAAGAATTGTGGGTTGACGGTGTTCGCGACAGAGGTTACGTCATCATCAACAAGGTATTACATGGCCGTGGTGTAGAGGGTGACATTGTGGTCTGCAGCTCCACACCTGGGTGGAGTTGTCTCCCTTTGCTGCCAAGGCTCTGCTGGTTGTGGATAGACCAAAACCATCCAGGATCTATTATTTGCTCTGTCGGCATGCTAGTGCTTGTAGATTTCACCATGCAAAGTTGGTTTCAACAGAATGGGTTTCACCAGAATGGATGTCACTTAAACAGATTCCGATAGAGAGGATTTTACCAGAGTGGTACCATGCCCAGCCGGGAGCACTGTAGACTTTCTACCACCATGAAGCCATGGTTTGGTATTAGGCCTGGGACGAGTCCAAATTTACTACCCGGGTACTCCACCCCCTATTACCTGACCCTACCCAGTTACTCGCTGTTGCGGGATTGGGTGGTCAGTCTCGCTGACTTGGTTGATGCATATCATCGATTCCAATTGCGTGAATTGATGCTCATGATATCAATCACTGGATGATCTGGTCTAGACATGATTATTTACAGACCGCTGTCATATAGCTGAAATATTGCTGAGTGTTGTTTATCTATCTATCCTGGTCAGTATTATAGGCCTTAACGTAATTTTTGTAAATAATATAATCTAAAAGAGATTTGTATTTGTGTGTATTACTTGTTTCTGTATGGTTGTTCCAGGTGATTTTGTAAGCATCATTCCGTGCTCGTAGGTTTCACCGAAGTGGTAAACGTCTGAGACCTGCATCACTTCTTGCTTTCCTCCCATATCAAGCTGACACGCAGTGATACAACTGGAATACTGTTAAAAGCAGTGTACTGCCGTGATATTGCTGGAATATTGCTAAAAGCGGCGTAAAACCATACTTACTTACTCACTCAAAACAGTGTTAAACCCAGCTGACTCACTCTTGCAGGTGATGCAGGGCATCCTTGTCAGAGGGGAGACAACCCATCTCAACATCATTCTTCATAAGGGAGACAACCTTGACATCCTTGTTGAAAATCAAGGCAGAATTTTCTATGGCAATGACATCAATAAGAATCAGAAGGTAAGGGGTTGTTCTGTGGATCAAATTGGCTTAAGGAAATCAAGGGCAGGTAATTTGAGAATGCATGAACCACGGAGATGGGTCGAGAGCTTAGTTTAGGTTTACCGAAATGCGAGCCTGGAGATATAGAAGATGTTTCGACACCTGAATCAAAGGTTAAGTGTTCGGTCGATTCAGACTACTGTAGCTGTGCTGTGAAAACACAGTTTCTTTGTCTCCTCATTCAAAAACATTGTTGCAAATTCCTAAAACTTTAGAAAGGCAAACTGGTCTGTGAATATTTTCTTATGAAGTTGTTTTTTTCTGATGTAAGGGTATATGAAAACAAGACTGGATGGTCTATGGTAAGTTTGCCTCTTGGCCCTGCCTCATGGATCAAAACTGTTTTAATTGTTTTCCACATTGCAGGGTATAGTTGGGAATGTGACTTTGGGAGAGGTAGTGCTCCAACACTGGACGATGTTCCCGCTCAGTCTGGCCAATAGTTCTGCCCATATCAGAAGCTCAAAACCAAGGTCAGTCTATGTCAGAAGTTCAGTATGCGTCTCAGTTGCTCAACATCTGTCTCAGTAGCCCAACATCCAGATGAGTAGCTCAACATCCTGATAAGTAGCTCAACATCCAGGTCAGTAGGTCAACATCCTGATGAGTAGCTCAACATCCTGGTGAGTAGCTCAACATCATGATGAGTAGCTCAACATCCTGGTGAGTAGCTCAACATCCTGGTGAGTAGCTCAACATCCTGATGAGTAGCTCAACACCCGTCTCAGTAGCCCAACATCTGTGTCAGTAGCTCAACATCCTGATGAGTAGCTCAACACCCGTCTCAGTAGCCCAACATCTGTCTCAGTAGCTCAACATCCTGATGAGTAGCTCAACACCCGTCTCAGTAGCCCAACATCTGTCTCAGTAGCCCAACATCCTGATGAGAAGCTCAACATCCTGGTGAGTGGCTCAACATCCAGGTCAGTAGCTCAACATCACGATGAGAAGCTCAACATCCAGGTCAGTAGCTGTCCTCATGCTGAATATTAAATAATAAATTGATCTTATGTTCCAAAAATTACTAAGCATTGAAACACTGTTTGTTCAGATAATCACACACACCTTTTTCTCGCTACAGATTGCAGGCTGGCAGCGACACCAACAGGACACCTCTGACACCATCCCTGTACATGGGCACGTTCACGCTGCCGAGCACACTGTCTCAGCCTCTCGACACCTATGTCGACATGAGACCCTGGCACAAGGTAAACTCCTTACACTCGACACCTATGTTGACATGAGTCACTGGCACAAGGTAAACTCCTTACACTCGACACCTATGTTGACATGAGACCTTGGTACAAGGTAAACTCCTTACACTCGACACCTATGTAGACATGAGACCTTGGTACAAGGTAAACTCCTTACACTCGACACCTATGTAGACATGAGACCTTGGTACAAGGTAAACTCCTTACACACGACACCTATGTAGACATGAGACCCTGGCACAAGGTAAACTCCTTACACTCGACACCTATGTAGACATGAGACCCTGGCACAAGGTAAACTCCTTACACTCGACACCTATGTAGACATGAGACCCTGGCACAAGGTAAACTCCTTACACTCGACACCTATGTTGACATGAGTCACTGGCACAAGGTAAACTCCTTACACTCGACACCTATGTAGACATGAGACCTTGGTACAAGGTAAACTCCTTACACTCGACACCTATGTAGATATGAGACCTTGGTACAAGGTAAACTCCTTACACTCGACACCTATGTTGACATGAGACCCTGGCACTAGGTAAACTCCTTACACTCGACACCTATGTTGACATGAGACCCTGGCACAAGGTAAACTCCTTACACTCGACACCTATGTTGACATGAGACCCTGGCACAAGGTAAACTCCTTACACTCGACACCTATGTTGACATGAGACCCTGGCACAAGGTAAACTCCTTACACTCGACACCTATGTTGACATGAGACCCTGGCACAAGGTAAACTCCTTACACTCGACACCTATGTAGACATGAGACCTTGGTACAAGGTAAACTCCTTACACTTAACACCTATGTAGACATGAGACCCTGGCACAAGGTAAACTCCTTACACTCAACACCTATGTTGACATGAGACTCTGGCACAATGTAAACTCCTTACACTCGACACCTATGTTAACATGCGACCCTGGCACAAGGTAAACTCCTTAACTTCGACACCTATGTTGACATGAGACCCTGGCACAAGGTAAACTCCTTACACTCGACACCTACATTGACATGAGACTCAGGCACAATGTAAACTCCTTACACTCGACACCTATGTTAACATGTGACCCTGGCACAAGGTAAACTCCTTAACTTCGACACCTATGTTAACATGAGACCCTGGCACAAGGTAAACTCCTTACACTCTACACTCGACACCTATGTTGACATGAGATCCTGGCACAAGGTAAACTCCTTACACTTAACACCTATGTAGACATGAGACCCTGGCACAAGGTAAACTCCTTACACTCAACACCTATGTTGACATGAGACTCTGGCACAATGTAAACTCCTTACACTCGACACCTATGTTAACATGCGACCCTGGCACAAGGTAAACTCCTTAACTTCGACACCTATGTTGACATGAGACCCTGGCACAAGGTAAACTCCTTACACTCGACACCTACATTGACATGAGACTCAGGCACAATGTAAACTCCTTACACTCGACACCTATGTTAACATGTGACCCTGGCACAAGGTAAACTCCTTAACTTCGACACCTATGTTAACATGAGACCCTGGCACAAGGTAAACTCCTTACACTCTACACTCGACACCTATGTTGACATGAGATCCTGGCACAAGGTAAACTCCTTACACTTGACACCTACATTGACATGAGACTCAGGCACAATGTAAACTCCTTACACTCGACACCTATGTTAACATGTGACCCTAGCACAAGGTAAACTCCTTACACTCGACACCTATGTAGACATGAGACCTTGGTACAAGGTAAACTCCTTACACTCGACACCTATGTAGACATGAGACCCTGGCACAAGGTAAACTCCTTACACTCGACACCTATATAGACATGAGACACTGGCACAATGTAAACTCCTTACACTCGACACCTATGTAGACATGAGACCTTGGTACAAGTTAAACTCCTTACACTTGACGCCTACGTTGACATGAGACCCTGACACTAGGTAAACTCCTTACACTCGACACCTATGTTAACATGAGACCCTGACACAAGGTAAACTCCTTACACTCGACACCTATGTTGACATGAGACCCTGACACTAGGTAAACTCCTTACACTCGACACCTATGTTAACATGAGACCCTGGCACAAGGTAAACTCCTTACATTCGACACCTATGTTGACATGAGACCCTGACACTAGGTAAACTCCTTACACTCGACACCTATGTTGACATGAAACCTGACACAAGGTAAACTCCTTACACTTGACACCTATGTTGACATGAGACCCTGGCACAAGGTAAACTCCTTACGCTCTACACTCGACACCTATGTTAACATGAGACTCTGGCACAAGGTAAACGCCTTCCACTCGACATCTATGTTAACATGAGACCCTAACACAAGGTAAACTCCTTACACTCGACACCTTCGTTGACAAGAAACTCTTGGACAAGTTAAACTCCTTACACTCGACACCTATGTTGATGTAGCGGCCATAACATTTCCGAGTCCCATGATGGGATTCGAACCACGGACCTTCTGATCACAGGTCGGACGCCTTGTCCACATGACCAAAGAGGTTAACCCCGTCAGCAGGCTGACAAGGTAAGGATGTCATCTGTGGGATGACTCCACACCCTGCTACATACTCCCCCGTCAACAGAAGGCACGTCCCGGGCCGCATAGTAGGGTACTGAGGCTTATTTTGCTCAAATTTAATATGAACGTGCTCAGCCCCACGTTGGGCGCCAAATTTGTAGCCGGGGTAGTGGTTTTTATCCGGCTCGGGCCGTTGGGAAACACAGACACAGGCAGATGGTGATAATGGATTTATTTCAAGGGGGGTGGCTGCTGTTGAAGAACTACCTGAAGAAAAGAAAATGTCCTTCCTCCTCAACAGCAGCACATGAAGTGATATATTTGCAAGTTTACAGGTATTATTTATCTTAAATATAAAAGTACAAAAGCCATTGATAAACTATACTAAAACTAACTTTAATGTTAAATTACTGTTATATGTTCATTATAGGATACTTGGAAAGCACATGGTCCAAAATGGACCATGTGGTTAATTATTTTACAAGCAAGTTTTATAATATCAATATTCCATTTACTAATTTAATATTACTTTAAATGATATTATATATATATTATTCAATTTAATTCAGCACCCTAATATAGATATTAATTTCTGACAGAAGCAGATGAAAACAGATTGAAATATGGCCATTCCATACCTGAAGAAAAGAAAATGTCCTTCCTCCTCAACAGCAGCACATGAAGTGAGGAGGAAGTCAGGTATGGAAGGAAGCTACCTGTAGAGGACCAGGGTGGCCAATTAGAAGACAGATTGCATTAAGCATCAAAGGAAGTGCTAAGTATGAAGCAATATATAAGTTGCGAACGAGAAGTAATCAACACAAGAGTAATGAATTTGTTTTGATTTGAATGATGAACTAAGATGATGAAATGGTATGAATGAATAGGACGGCACAAGGACAAGACATGATATGGCAAATGTTAGTTGAGCAGATAAGGAATTTCCCAGCAGTGAAAAATATTTCAGACAGGAAAGAAGAGTGAGAAATTTAAAGTAAGAAATATGAAATAACTATTTTAGGGTACTTACTTTGCCAAAAGGTATCCAAGTGACTTAACAAATTAAATGGCTTATCTTATACCAGTAAACTGCAAATTAATTTAATAAAATTCATTGAATGAAGATGAAAATTACAATATATCACAATTAGCTATCACAGTTAAAGGGCAGTATAAATAGAATTTATCAAAATTCTGTAAAGATATAGGTTGATTTTAAATAAGAATTTAATTAAATGAGAATTCTGCAATGATAACTCAGAATGGCAACAAGTGGGTCACACAGCTGTACAACTTTACAGTTGTCAACAGTGCTTCCTAAGTGGAAAATATGATGATCACAAGTGTGACAAGATAAAGTTTCAAAAATGTTCAAGTAATGGTGATGAACATATCAAGCATATATATATATACAATGAAACAGTCAACTAATGACATTCTGATAAAATTTAGTTCAGAATGTAAACAAAGTTCATGGTCACAGTTCACAGATCAAAAGTTCATGTGTGAACAAAATGACAAATACATGTAAATCAGTTAAAATAAAAGTCACACTTCCAGGAATTGGAGGAAGCACCTCAATTTTAGCACTGATGCAGACGAAAAGTTCAACGTCATAACAAAGTGTAGATCACTGACGATTGAGGATCAAGATTTAATTTTAGTCAGAGTTATAGCTCAACGCTACACACAAAACTTCCACAAGTTGCATGGAAGAAACATCCTGAATCTTCAATGAAGAATCCTTCAACAGTGATGAAGGATTACCCCCAGAACACGATGAAGTTGATGAAGCCTGTGTCCAGAGTGACAGCCAACGGCCCCACGTTGGGCGCCAAATTTGTAGCGGCCATAACATTTCCGAGTCCCATGATGGGATTCGAACCACGGACCTTCTGATCACAGGTCGGACGCCTTGTCCACATGACCAAAGAGGTTAACCCCGTCAGCAGGCTGACAAGGTAAGGATGTCATCTGTGGGATGACTCCACACCCTGCTACATTGACATGAGACCCTGACACAGGTTAGACACCTTACTCTTGACACCTATGTTAATATGAGACACTCTAGCACAGGAGAGACACCTTACTCTCGACACTTCTGCTGATAAACCCATGTTGATCCAGGCGAGGATAGATCTTCAGCAACCCATGCTTGTCACGAGAGGCAACTAACGGGGATTGGGTGGCAAAGACAGACTCTAACATGTGACACCTATGCTGATATAGTGATGTGATATTTTGAGGCACAGTTTGACAATTAACCCATACCTTGCAGGGACAGCTGTTCATCAATGGCAACAACGTGGGTGGCTACTGGCCGACCCTGGGCCCCCAGGTGACTCTATATGTCCCCCTGTCCTTCCTCAAGCCCCATCCTGCTTCCAACACAGTCCTCGCCCTCGAGCTGGAGTCCGCCCCCTGTCCTCACGCCTGCAGCATTCACTTTGTTGATCAACCATTCATCAACAAGACTGTAAACACCTTTAATTGATCAACCATTCATCAGCAAGACTGTAAACACCCTTAATTGATCAACCATTAATCAACAAGACTGTAACTTCCTTCAATCAACCATTCATCAGCAAGACTGTAAACACCTTTAATCAACCATTTATCAACAAGACTGTAAACACCTTTAATTGATCAACCATTCATCAACAAGACTGTAAGCACCTTTAATTGATCAACCATTAATCAACAAGACTGTAAACACCTTTAATCAACCATTCATCAACAAGACTGTAAACACCTTTAATCAACCATTCATCAACACGGCTGTAAACACGTTTAATTGATCAACCATTCATCAACAAGACTGTAAACACCTTTAATTGATCAACCATTCATCAACAAGACTGTAAGCACCTTTAATTGATCAACCATTAATCAACAAGACTGTAACTTCCTTCAATCAACCATTCATCAGCAAGACTGTAAACACCTTTAATCAACCATTTATCAACAAGACTGTAAACACCTTTAATTGATCAACCATTCATCAACAAGACTGTAAGCACCTTTAATTGATCAACCATTCATCAACAAGACTGTAAACACCTTTAATCAACCATTCATCAACAAGACTGTAAACACCTTTAATCAACCATTCATCAACACGGCTGTAAACACGTTTAATTGATCAACCATTCATCAACAAGACTGTAAACACCTTTAATTGATCAACCATTCATCAACAAGACTGTAAGCACCTTTAATTGATCAACCATTCATCAACAAGACTGTAAACACCTTTAATCAACCATTCATCAACAAGACTGTAAACACCTTTAATTGATCAACCATTCATCAACAAGACTGTAAGCACCTTTAATTGATCAACCATTCATCAACAAGACTGTAAACACCTTTAATCAACCATTCATCAACAAGACTGTAAACACCTTTAATCAACCATTCATCAACAAGACTGTAAACACCTTTAATCAACGATTCATAAACAAGACTGTACACACTTTTAATCAACCATTCATCAACAAGACTGTAAACACCTTTAATTGATCAACCATTAATCAGCAAGACTGTAAATCCTTTTCCCTTGATCAACCATTAATCAGCAAGACTGTAAATGTGTTTGCTTGATCAACCATTGAATGGAATAATTCAAAACAACAAAATGAAATACCAGTCTGCAAATACTGTAGCCGAAAGCCCAAATCTAGTAAAATTATGTTCTGACTTGTAAGATCAGCTAATAATGGTGTATCAGAGACCAACAGAGTTAAGGCAGATAAACCATTCATCGCCATGACTGTAACTCCCTGATTTAGATGGGTTCATGAATAGAGCTACAGTGAAGTACTTTATAACAAACATGCTTATAACAAACTGACGGATATAATGAACATACTTTTTGGTCGGAGCCATTTGCTGTATGTATGCTGTATACCGGTATATGCTTATTATGAACTACGGTTATATTGAACTAAAATCAGTGGTCCCTTTTAGTTCGTTATAACCGTAGTTTACTGTATATTTGTACTCATTTCCATGATGAATGGCAACAGAACAGCCTAGCCTAAAAGTGTACTATATTCAGAACAACTATATACCCTGCGGTTTTATTTGTGCAATACAGAGATTTTATGTACTATTGTGCTTGTTATATATAATATGAAACCAGTGAGTGAGTGAGTGAGTGAGCGAGCGAGCATGGATCCCCACAGGTGTGCTGATGATACCCATATCTGTTCATGTCTGAGACCTGCCTCACTCCAGGCTTACTTCCCACATCAAGCTGACAGGCGGTGATGTTACTGAAATACTGTGCACACCAGGGTTGAACCAAACACACTATTTCTTCGTTTTGTTTATTCCAATATTCAATATTCCAGCTTTATGACGGCGGTCTGTAAATAATCGAGTCAGGCCCAGACAATCCAGTGATTTGACATCATGAGCATCGATCCACGCAATTGGGATACGATGACATGCATCAACCAAGTCAGCGAGCCTGACCACCCGATCTGTTAGTCACCTCTTACAACAAGCATAGTTGCCTTTTACGGCACACATGTGTTGCTGAAGACCTATTCTACCCCGGATGTTCCCATCTCTTCGTGAAACTTTGCAGTGTAGTTGTGACTATTGTGTTTGTGATGCTGACTACATAACCTCCACATCATCATCTTGAACTCCTGTGTAAAGTTTTTCACTTTTGTTCAGTGCCAGTGCTTCCTTTTGGAATATTATTCCATAATCTGTTGCAACATTTATTTAATATTTGTTGTGCAATGTCAGCCAGACAGTTGCCTATCGAGGGAGTTAGTAGATTCAGTTCTCATGTCAGCCAGACAGTTGCCTATCGAGGGAGTTAGTAGATTCAGTTCTCATGTCAGCCAGACAGTTGCCTATCGAGGGAGTTAGTAGATTCAGTTCTCATGTCAGCCAGACAGTTGCCTATCGAGGTAGTTAGTAGATTCAGTTCTCATTTCAGCCAGACAGTTGCCTATCGAGGGAGTTAGTAGATTCAGTTCTCATGTCAGCCAGACAGTTGCCTATCGAGGTAGTTTGTAGATTCAGTTCTCATTTCAGCCAGACAGTTGCCTATTGAGGTAGTTAATTAGTAGATTCAGTTCTTATGTCAGCCAGACAGTTGCCTATCGAGGGAGTTAGTAGATTCAGTTCTCGTGTCAGCCAGACAGTTGCCTATCGAGGTAGTTAGTAGATTCAGTTCTCAGTTCTCATGTCAGCCAGACAGTTGCCTATCGAGGGAGTTAGTAGATTCAGTTCTCATGTCAGCCAGACAGTTGCCTATCGAGGTAGTTAGTAGATTCAGTTCTCATGTCAGCCAGACAGTTGCCTATCGAGGGAGTTAGTAGATTCAGTTCTCATGTCAGCCAGACAGTTGCCTATGGAGGTAGTTAGTAGATTCAGTTCTCATGTCAGCCAGACAGTTGCCTATGGAGGTAGTTAGTAGATTCAGTTCTCATGTCAGCCAGACAGTTGCCTATCGAGGTAGTTAGTAGATTCAGTTCTCATGTCAGCCAGACAGTTGCCTATCGAGGTAGTTAGTAGATTCAGTTCTCATGTCAGCCAGACAGTTGCCTATCGAGGGAGTTAGTAGATTCAGTTCTCATGTCAGCCAGACAGTTGCCTATCGAGGTAGTTAGTAGATTCAGTTCTCAGTTCTCATGTCAGCCAGACAGTTGCCTATCGAGGGAGTTGGTAGATTCAGTTCTCATGTCAGCCAGACAGTTGCCTATCGAGGTAGTTAGTAGATTCAGTTCTCATGTCAGCCAGACAGTTGCCTGTCGAGGGAGTTAGTAGATTCAGTTCCCATGTCAGCCAGACAGTTGCCTATCGAGGGAGTTAGTAGATTCAGTTCTCATGTCAGCCAGACAGTTGCCTATCGAGGTAGTTAGTAGATTCAGTTCTCATGTCAGCCAGACAGTTGCCTTTCGAGGGAGTTAGTAGATTCAGTTCTCATGTCAGCCAGACAGTTGCCTATCGAGGGAGTTAGTAGATTCAGTTCTCATGTAAGCCAGACAGTTGCCTATGGAGGTAGTTAGTAGATTCAGTTCTTATGTCAGCCAGACAGTTGCCTATCGAGGGAGTTAGTAGATTCAGTTCTCATGTCAGCCAGACAGTTGCCTATCGAGGGAGTTAGTAGATTCAGTTCTCATGTCAGCCAGACAGTTGCCTATCGAGGGAGTTAGTAGATTCAGTTCTCATGTCAGCCAGACAGTTGCCTATCGAGGGAGTTAGTAGATTCAGTTCTCATGTCAGCCAGACAGTTGCCTATCGAGGTAGTTAGTAGATTCAGTTCTCATGTCAGCCAGACAGTTGCCTATCGAGGGAGTTAGTAGATTCAGTTCTCATGTCAGCCAGACAGTTGCCTATCGAGGGAGTTAGTAGATTCAGTTCTCATGTCAGCCAGACAGTTGCCTATCGAGGTAGTTAGTAGATTCAGTTCTCATGTCAGCCAGACAGTTGCCTATCGAGGTAGTTAGTAGATTCAGTTCTCATGTCAGCCAGACAGTTGCCTATCGAGGTAGTTAGTAGATTCAGTTCTCATGTCAGCCAGACAGTTGCCTATCGAGGGAGTTAGTAGATTCAGTTCTCATGTCAGCCAGACAGTTGCCTATCGAGGTAGTTAGTAGATTCAGTTCTCATGTCAGCCAGACAGTTGCCTATTGAGGTAGTTAGTAGATTCAGTTCTCATGTCAGCCAGACAGTTGCCTATCGAGGGAGTTAGTAGATTCAGTTCTCATGTCAGCCAGACAGTTGCCTATCGAGGGAGTTAGTAGATTCAGTTCTCATGTCAGCCAGACAGTTGCCTATCGAGGTAGTTAGTAGATTCAGTTCTTATGTCAGCCAGACAGTTGCCTATCGAGGGAGTTAGTAGATTCAGTTCTCATGTCAGCCAGACAGTTGCCTATCGATGTAGTTAGTAGATTCAGTTCTCAGTTCTCATGTCAGCCAGACAGTTGCCTATCGAGGGAGTTAGTAGATTCAGTTCTCATGTCAGCCAGACAGTTGCCTATCGAGGGAGTTAGTAGATTCAGTTCTCATGTCAGCCAGACAGTTGCCTATCGAGGTAGTTAGTAGATTCAGTTCTCATGTCAGCCAGACAGTTGCCTATCGAGGTAGTTAGTAGATTCAGTTCTCATGTCAGCCAGACAGTTGCCTATCGAGGGAGTTAGTAGATTCAGTTCTCATGTCAGCCAGACAGTTGCCTATGGAGGGAGTTAGTAGATTCAGTTCTCAGTTCTCATGTCAGCCAGACAGTTGCCTATCGAGGTAGTTAGTAGATTCAGTTCTCATGTCAGCCAGACAGTTGCCTATCGAGGTAGTTAGAAGATTCAGTCCTCATGTCAGCCAGACAGTTGTCTATCGAGGGAGTTAGTAGATTCAGTTCTCATGTCAGCCAGACAGTTGCCTATGGAGGTAGTTAGTAGATTCAGTTCTCATGTCAGCCAGACAGTTGCCTATCGAGGTAGTTAGTAGATTCAGTTCTCATGTCAGCCAGACAGTTGCCTATCGAGGGAGTTAGTAGATTCAGTTCTCATGTCAGCCAGACAGTTGCCTATCGAGGGAGTTAGTAGATTCAGTACTCATGTCAGCCAGACAGTTGCCTATCGAGGTAGTTAGTAGATTCAGTTCTCATGTCAGACAGACAGTTGCCTATCGAGGGAGTTAGTAGATTCAGTTCTCATGTCAGCCAGACAGTTGCCTATCGAGGTAGTTAGTAGATTCAGTTCTTATGTCAGCCAGACAGTTGCCTATCGAGGGAGTTAGTAGATTCAGTTCTCATGTCAGCCAGACAGTTGCCTATCGATGTAGTTAGTAGATTCAGTTCTCAGTTCTCATGTCAGCCAGACAGTTGCCTATCGAGGGAGTTAGTAGATTCAGTTCTCATGTCAGCCAGACAGTTGCCTATCGAGGGAGTAAGTAGATTCAGTTCTCATGTCAGCCAGACAGTTGCCTATCGAGGTAGTTAGTAGATTCAGTTCTCATGTCAGCCAGACAGTTGCCTATCGAGGTAGTTAGTAGATTCAGTTCTCATGTCAGCCACACAGTTGCCTATCGAGGGTGTTAGTAGATTCAGTTCTCATGTCAGCCAGACAGTTGCCTATCGAGGTAGTTAGTAGATTCAGTTCTCATGTCAGCCAGACAGTTGCCTATCGAGGGAGTTAGTAGATTCAGTTCTCATTTCAGCCAGACAGTTGCCTATTGAGGTAGTTAGTAGATTCAGTTCTCATGTCAGCCAGACAGTTGCCTATCGAGGTAGTTAGTAGATTCAGTTCTCATTTCAGCCAGACAGTTGCCTATCGAGGGAGTTAGTAGATTCAGTTCTCATGTCAGCCAGACAGTTGCCTATCGAGGTAGTTAGTAGATTCAGTTCTCATTTCAGCCAGACAGTTGCCTATTGAGGTAGTTAATTAGTAGATTCAGTTCTTATGTCAGCCAGACAGTTGCCTATCGAGGGAGTTAGTAGATTCAGTTCTCGTGTCAGCCAGACAGTTGCCTATCGAGGTAGTTAGTAGATTCAGTTCTCAGTTCTCATGTCAGCCAGACAGTTGCCTATCGAGGGAGTTAGTAGATTCAGTTCTCATGTCAGCCAGACAGTTGCCTATCGAGGTAGTTAGTAGATTCAGTTCTCATGTCAGCCAGACAGTTGCCTATCGAGGGAGTTAGTAGATTCAGTTCTCATGTCAGCCAGACAGTTGCCTATGGAGGTAGTTAGTAGATTCAGTTCTCATGTCAGCCAGACAGTTGCCTATCGAGGTAGTTAGTAGATTCAGTTCTCATGTCAGCCAGACAGTTGCCTATCGAGGTAGTTAGTAGATTCAGTTCTCATGTCAGCCAGACAGTTGCCTATCGAGGTAGTTAGTAGATTCAGTTCTCATGTCAGCCAGACAGTTGCCTATCGAGGGAGTTAGTAGATTCAGTTCTCATGTCAGCCAGACAGTTGCCTATGGAGGTAGTTAGTAGATTCAGTTCTCAGTTCTCATGTCAGCCAGACAGTTGCCTATCGAGGGAGTTGGTAGATTCAGTTCTCATGTCAGCCAGACAGTTGCCTATCGAGGTAGTTAGTAGATTCAGTTCTCATGTCAGCCAGACAGTTGCCTGTCGAGGGAGTTAGTA